TGTATGTCTTCAGGATGTTGCCCTTACAGGTTCCATTACAACTACTCAAAACCGTTAAAACCACACTAAACAAATTTGTGTGGAGAGATATGAGGCCACGCTTACTCGTATCACTCCTCCATGTACACCCGGCAGATGGGGGCTTGGGTCTCCCGACAATATTGACCTACTATAAAGCGGCCATCCTAGAGTCAGCTATAAGATTACATGCTCCCAAAAATACTTTCCAATGGGCAGATATGGAACAAGACAAATCACACCTGTGACGAGACCAATCTCGCCACATTGCATTGGAGAAGCCTGGTTGCTCGCCTGCTGCCTCTGGACTATGGCCCCCTTTTAAAAGACTTTATTTCGCCTGCAGAAAAGCTGTATTCGTGCTTTTCTGCCGGTTGTTCGGTAGATTCAATCTACCGAACAACCGCACGAATGAATAGACCACCTGGGAGCTGGAGTGTGCCGGCAATTAACCTCCCTGAAGCTGCGGTTAACCGCAGCTTAATTGACGAATGCTGGGTGGCCGCCATTCGTATCCCGAACACGAGGTCGCGGCCATTTTAAACATACGAATGCACAGCGGTGTTCGCCCCTATTTTCATGGAACTAAAATCAGACACAGTTTTGCGCGAACACCGCTGAAGCCGCCGACCTCCCTTCTTGTTCGGTGGAAGTGCACGAACGGCCCGGTGTTCGGTAGTTTTGTTTGAATGTGTTATACCCCAGATAGGAATCCCATGGAGCCCATTCGGATGAAACTGACTGTAAAGACTTTGGCTCCATGGCGATTAAACTGTATTCATGTGGTCTGAGTGCCATTCACTTAATAATGTGCGCTCAGACCTGAGCTATCTGGGGATATGTTACATGTCTGAGTTTTATGTAATAAATGTCACTTTATGTATTTTAAAGTATAATACCGGTTTTGTGTCCCCACATGGGTAATGGAGTTTTGCCTTTGTCTTGGGAGATAATTGAGTTACTTCTCAATTATCTCCCAGGGCAGAGGGGAGGAAGCCAGGATGCATTGTGGGAATATACTGTGACTGTGTGTTCTATTTGTCTACTTGTCTGTCCCTTGTCACAGTCTCCCATTTGGTCCCCTAGGGGAGTGTCCACCAGGTGGGAGACCTGCATAAAAGCCGGGCAGGTAGCCCTCATTAAACAGACCACTGCTTGACCCTCAACACGGAGCCTTGTCTCGTCTTTGGGGGGATTTACTGTATGCTGCTAAGGACTGATTGCCAGGAGTGTAAGCCGCTTGGGAGCTTTTCCTGTTCGTCTGGTAGCAGCAATTCGTATGGTTCCTGTTCGTGTATTTGGAGTGCTACCTTATTCCCTTGTATGCCGTTCGGGAGTTTGGAGCATTCACTTGTATGCAGTTCGAGAGTTTGGAGCATTCACTTGTATGCAGTTCGAGTGTTTGGACCATTCCCTTGTATGCAGTTCGAGTGTTTGGAGCATTCCCTTGTATGCCGTTCGGGAGTTTGGAGCATTCACTTGTATTCAGTTCGTGAGTTTTGGTGATTCTACAGTAGCTGTGCCTGTCTCTGAAAGGGGATTATCGTCTAAGCGTTTTTTTATCCCTTTTGTGCAAAACGGTCCGTTACAACACCCACATACCCTAACGAACATGTTATGGTCACCGAAGTCACACCGACCAAATACAAATGTACTATACCCTACATCTGCCCTTACCTTGAAGATATGGGACAACCCATACAGACCTAACCGACTCGAAGATAACAACTTCTGTGCTCAGGCACCTTTAGAAGCATTAGAGCTCATCTCCCCATGGCTATCTCTGAAAAAGTGGACAGATATGGGTGTTAAAAAAATTGGAAATTCTACTCTTCCCTGAAATTCAACAGAAATACAAGTTACCTAACTCGTTTATTTTTGCATACCTCCAGCTAAAGAGTATTATAAACAACAAAGTCACGTTCACAATGGACGAGTTCCCCCCACAAAATAATCCAGCTATACTACTCCACAATAGATGTCTATCAGCCACAACGAAATCGGGAGCCTTGTCTCTCTGCTACCAGATCCTCCTACACAAAATGGCACAATGGGAGAAAGAAGGAATACCCAAGCTCACAGATGATCAATCGCTTAAAGCATTAAACGCACTTCGAGGCATCACATCCTGCTTCTCTCATATAGAAGCTCACAAGAAAGTGGTCTATCGATGGTACCTCACTCCACACAAGCTACATAAACAATTCCCCGTAATAGATCCTAAATGCTGGAGATGCGGTGCAGATGAGGGACACATGACTCACATATGGTGGGAATGCAAGGAGATCAAGCCCCTCTGGATACGGGTACACACACTATTACAAGACGAGACAGAAGAAACACATTCTCTTACACCTACAATGGGTCTCTTTCTGGTTTTTCCCGACACGTGGTGGTTGGAAGCCAGAAAAATAGCCACTTTGATCATACTGGCGGCCAGAAATCTTTTAGCATTACACTGGAAATCTACATACTGCCCAAACAACAAAGAATTGGTAGACAAGATATACCAATTCTACCGATACGAGACTCTATCTTCAGATTCCCCTGAACAAACAAAGAAAATAGAAACACTCTGGGCACCGTGGCTAACAAGACACTACCACCGCAAGAATATAGAGAAAGGCGGAAAGTAAACCTACGTCCCCCCGTGGGTGAGAAGGATACCAAAGGTAGACTTCATAAACACACAGATGGCACACTTTAGCCAAGACACACGGAGACAACAAAATATGCATAACATGGGGCAGATACACAGCAGAACAGCTACATTATACAGACAGGTGAAGTTGGTCAGTCACGCTTTCAAATGAGAGGCAATATCAACATTCAATACACGACTATACATTCCCCTCCAGGTTCATACCTCCTAGTTACATATTCCCCCCCCCCTTTCTTCTACTGAACCATAGAATCAAGTTCAACTACCTTTATCGATAATCCAGATAAATAGCAATATCAAAATGCAGGGACAGAATTCTTGTCTTCCACAGGAGAGACACAAATTTTGACAGGAACAATTGTATATCTAATTCGAACGAGTAGGTAATATGGGGTGACTTCATTTTACCCAGACGAGACAGGTAGTTAACAAGGAAAACCACAGGACTAGAATATTGTATAGGCCACATACAGGATTGCTATTGTTATTAACTGTAATAAGCAACTCATAATGATAAAAAAAATGCGGTAGTCGCAATAGTAGCTTTTGTCACACTGTGTTTAGCAGGAATGTTCATATATACCCATATAAGCTTTTGGATTGTCAAGAAAAATGTCACAAATTTTGCTTGGAACTTGTAAACGAAAATGTTTAAGATCTATTGATTATGTCCCCGCCCCTTTTTTCCTTTCCGTATCCCCGATTTACTTTTTGTTTGAAAAATAAAAACATACATTTGAAAAAAAAAAAGGTTTTGAGAAGCACGGTGTATCCTTACATTAAAAAAAAAACATAATTGTGATCCTAGATGCCTCGAGTTCTTTGCGATTCAGAAAATATTTACAGACTGGAGAGGGGGTAACTTCACTAAGAGAATTGGACAAAAATAAATGGATTTTTAATTTAAGTACAAGGCAACCATATGATCTTAATGATGATTTTGAGCTGTGCCATATTTTATAAAAAAAAATTATACATTTTTTATTTTTTTATATATTTTTTATATTTTTGTATTATTAATACCTTGTATATGATCATTTTATTTGCACACATTTTATACCTATTTTAGATTAGTACTGTATATATTAATTTGGATATACTATAAATATTAACTAATCTCAACCCCTCTTTTGAAGAAACAAATCTATTTCTTAATAGCTCTTAAATCAAATTGAGATCTATTCTGCATTTTTTCACTTTACATCACCTGACAACTTTCCCTGATCTTTCACTTTTATTACATCCCATTATATTATATTCATTAGCACTTTAATGTATTATTATTACATATTTTAACACATAACATAGTTGTGATTTTGCACATTGTTTCAGTATTATTGTACTGGAGATCTCTTATTATAGCATATAGTGCATAGACACTTACATTCACTTTGTAGCACTTTATAATTTAAAGGTATAGCACACCTTTTTATTTTTTTTGATTAATTGGGTGTTTTTAGAGCTGTTTCACTGAGTAGGTTGCTGCTTTACCTTTTTTTTTATTGTTTTATACATATAAATTGTACCACTAAATTATTAGCGCCTTTTTGCTTGATTTTTTTCTGTATATATAAGACTTAGACCTTTTTTTTTGCACTTAGATGTAATATATTTATATGTGTTTGAACTGTGTGTATTTTATATTATATGTATAACTCCATTATTTTAATATAATATATTTTTGTTATCCTTTATTTCCTCTTCTGTATATGGCTTATTAACAAGCTATACAAATGCTATATTAGCCATGAAGATGGAAATTTATTTTATATCCCTATACCGGCATGAAAGGGAATGCACCTTAAAAATTATGGCCGAACAGGACACGTACAGAATAAGCATAAGCACCCCCATCCATGATGCCACGTGTGATGAAATGTATCACGTAGGGTATCACAAGGACCGGCCAGATTACTTAACAGGACACGGCTGAGTAGAACACACACCTATGAAATAGAAGTATCAGATTGGAGGCCAACGCAAATGAACTGTCCATCAGCAGGAATGGAGGGACATTTAAAATCACTGGTATGCAGAGAGATGAACACCGATTGAGAAAGCTGTTATTATACAGCGAAACGCGTTTCGGTAAAGAAGACTTTCAACATATATTTTTTATCTTAGATAGTTTTGATTTGTTTATTTTTTGTTACAATTGTTTAATAAATTTTATTTCAAACAACAGAAAGTCGACCTTCTTCCATTTTGCTGCTAAAGAAGGGTTGTAGCCCCCTTAAAGGCACACATACCCACACACCAGGAGCCAGGTGTGGGATTGGCTTTGTGTTGTTGTTAAGCCCTCCGTAATGCCGCTTGTAACTCATGAGTTGTGATGTGTGTTTTTTTTTTTGTGTGTGGCTACTTTAATGAAGTGTCCCCTCAGGACCGATTTGTGTGCCGCCCACACTGCCACCGGGTTGACTTCCGCAGATGTGTTGTGTGTTAAGTAGTCTAGGATAGTGTCGCTAACTGCTTGGCGGATGTCGTTGTATTGTAACAGGCTAGTATTTAGTTTCCATGTCCAATTCGAGGAATACTTAAGTTTGTCTAAGGTAACCTTGATGTCTGCATGGTCTGACCATGTTAAGTTGTGTATGTCTGATTTAGCGAGTTTGGCCATCCCCGACCCATTTAGGAGAATATTATCAATTCTGCAATATGTGCAGTGTGGCGCAGAGTAAAATGTGAAATCACGAGTGTCTGGATGCTGGATGCACCACCCATCTAGGAGGCGTGTATTGGCTAGGAACGTGTGAAAATGTTTGTCCTGCACCTCTCTAGAAACATAGAAACATAGAATATTGTAACCGCAGGTAGTTCCCTTATTTACCACTATAATGTCTTAAAGCATAGAACTTAGTAGGGCTAACTATACAGATATCTTAGCCATAATTTTATATAGTTAGTAAGTTATCCTCTATTTAACATATAAAAATAATTGGGAATACAATATAAAATAAGGATTGTCTTGGAAGCATTAACTGTTGTTTATACTAAGTCGTAAGTGCAGAGATGGGAGATTCCTGGATTTGGGGAAGTTCCATTAACTTGGGCTTACAACAGTATATTGTGTACTGAAAGAAAGTATAGCCTTGAAGCTTGTTTATGCATTATTGTTATTGTAATTCGTCTGGGACAAAATGGCGCAAACATATTATGCACTGAGGTTATTGCTTAAAGAAACATCTATGAAAAACAATATGTTCCTGTAACGGATCACCTGGCACCCGACTGGGTACCTCCGTTGAAAGATGCTCCTAGCGCTTCCTGAGGACTCCAAGCACTGCAGCAGACACCACAATCACCGAACCAGAGAAGCGTATACCTTCTCTCAAGCATAAGAATGCTGTAGACAGTTGAATAGGAACCATACGAATAGGTTTACTCTCCTAGCAGTCAAACTGGAACAGCATACAATAAATCCTTCCCCAATAATGAGACGACACTTCACTTTGAGGGTTAAAACAGGAACTCCCTGTACTGTCACATACAGTCTCTTTTATTCCCAATCCACAAACATAGTACAGCCCACAGGCAGTGGTGTATCCTGGTTTTGTGCTGCCCTAGGCAGGACAAAACTCAGGCGCCCCTCCCCAGCGCCACCCCACCCAGCCTTTCCCCAGCCCCACCTTCTAAATACACACACACACAGTCAGACACATACACAAACACACACACACACAGTCAGACACAGACACAGTCGGACACAAACACACACACACAGTCAGACACACACAGTCAGACACAAACACACACACAAACACACACAGACACACACAGTCACATACACACACACAGTCAGACACAAACACACACACACACACAGTCAGACACACACAGTCACATACACACACACAGTCAGACACAAACACACACACACACACACAGTCAGACACATACACAGACACAAACACAGTCAGACACAAACACACACACACACAGTCAGACACATACACAGACACAAACACAGACACAAACACACACACACACACACACTCACAAACACACACAGTCAGACACAAACACACACACACATTAACATTTTTTTTAATTTAAATCCCCCCCCAACCTCCTTACCTTTGGGAGTGCTGGGGGGGGGGGTCTCTCTCCCTGGTGGTCCAGTGGCTGCAGGGCGGGCGGCGCTGGCAGGCGGGCGGCCGGCGAGGGAGCACTTCCCATGAGCTGACTGCTCAGCTCCCTCGCGCGTCGGCTGCAGAGTGAGGCTGGGAACCGGAAGATGACGTCATCTTCCGGCTCCCAGCCTCACTTTGCGGTGCGCGAGGGAGCTGAGCAGTCAGCTCATGGGAAGTGCTCCCTCGCCGGCCGCCCGGGATGTCAGTTAGCCGCAAGGCTAACAAGGCATCTGCCCTGGGCATTTGGGGGGCGGCGTTTTTTGCCGCCCCCTGAAAAATGCCGCCCAAGGCAAATGCCTTGTTTGCCTCGCGGCTAATACGTCCCTGCCCACAGGGCGTTACAAAACAGCCAATCAATCCATACAATACACCCAGACACTCCCACACAAAATCCTCCCCTCTGGCTGTGATATGATTACTGAACACAATGGGTAATCTAATTATCACAGCCAGAGAAATACAGTTTAATAAAACACATCACAGGGACCCCAAAACATGCAATAACCCCATAAAAAGTATATCCTTGGAACTGGGGGATCTGGGTGAACCACATATCCAAAATTCACCCAGATCCGTTCAGTACTTTGGAAAATACAGTTTAATGCAGATTCTGCAGAACATATACAGGCTAAATAAAAAACAATCACTGTATAATGTGTCCCCTGCTGTATAGTCCAAAACCACCGCACGATGTCTCTGTGCAACAAATACTGGCGAGATGGCACCGTGTTGAAAAGTCCAAACAGTGTCTGGGAGTTAAAATGGCCGCCATCCATTGTTCTCACCATGTGCTTCTGATACAGGAAATGGTGGCCACCCAGTAACTCCACAGTATGTCCCCAGATGGTTCTTAAAAGGGCCAGCAGCACAACACAAATCCATTATGCCCAAATCATGTCTTTAAAGGGCAATACATCCCAGGGGCCATAGTCACATGGCAGGAGGCTGGCAACCAGGCTTCTCCAGTGCATAGTGGCGAGGTTGGTTCCGCCAGAGTTCCATTTCTAACACCTTGTCAATTTGCAATATCTCTTAAAGACAAAGTACACAGTTTAAGAAATACATTTCATTCTAAAACTTGTAATATTTGCATTTGCCCATAACAATGTGATGGCAGATAAGAATCATTTGGCGCATCTAGTCTGCCCAATTTTCTAAATAGTTTCATTAGTCCCTGGTCTTATCTTATAGTTAGGATAGCCTTATGCCTATCCCTACTATCTAATGTGGGACCTTATGACTCCTGGCTTCGCGCTTCTGTCGACCAACGGACACAGTACTGCATTAAAATCTCCCCCAACCACCTGTATGCCTCCCCCTCCAGAGCTTATCAATGTTGCGAGCGTGTCCCAATACCGGGGGTCCGGCCTGTTTGGGGCATAGACGTTGATAATTTGTAATTTGGAGTTATGAACGTGCCTGATATGGTTACGTATCATCCCTCCGGATCCACATCAGTGCCCGTCACAGTGAGGGGGCAATGTTTGTGTACTAGAATGGCAACTCCTGTTCGTTTGTGCTGCATCCGGGCTTCGTAAACTCCAGTATAATGCCTATCCGTTAACCTAATCTTGGCCGACCTGGGGATGTGTGTCTCCTGTACCAGGGCAACGTCTGCCCCTTTTGCCCTAAGGTCCCGCAGGAGCAGTCTCTGTTAATTGGGGGAGATCAACCCCTTTACATTAAAGATACTATTTTCAGCACCATGTCAAGGTGGGGGCGTGCACGAGTGTTGCATTATGAGTCTCCCTGATTAGGGCAGAGGGGTGAATCGGTGGCATGCCAGTATGCTGTTGTGTGTCCCAACTAATTATCGGGTGGCCGTCATAATCGCGTTATTAGTGGGGTGTATATAGGGTGCCGGGTAACCTGTGCTTCCCTCCAAACTCCATAGGGGACAATCCCATGTGGTGTAACATTGCAGGTGAACCACCCCTGTGTAACATGGTGGTTCCCCCTGAGTCCTGCCCTCCCTACCCCCATCCTCCCCGTTATGTCCCTTGCCTAGGTACTTAGCATAACTCAGGCATACGGTCCCAGTTGGAAGGAGAGGGGTGCTTCCTCCATGGTAGGTAAGTTGTTTGCTCTCCATTACCACTTCAGGTGTGTAACTGCACTGGAGACCCTCTGCCAGTCACTGGGTAGCGGATCAGTGGTTGCAGGGCATGTGGAAGTCCGGTGGTGGGTCGATGTTAAGACTCTGGAGGAATGCCGTAGAAATTGTTCCAGTAGTATAGTGAGCGTTCATCCATTTTGGAAGGTGACAATATTGAAGGAGTGTCCCAGGTGTGCCCAGGTGTAGCGGGTCCTGTGTCTCTGGAGTAATTCTGTCAGAGGCCTCCACTCCTTCCTTCGTTGCGTCATAGTCATATTGCAAGGTATTGTCCCAGCTGTAGCGTACTATGGCTTCCTTGGTGGAGTAGTGTGAGAAGCGGATGATGATGTCATGAGGTACCGCTCCCTCCACTCTTCTGGCTTGTAGTGCTCTGTGGGCCTGGTCGATCACCCACTTCTCTTCGGGGATCGTTGATTAGGTGTTTGAAGTAATCCTCCATTTTCTCTGCAAGTGGGCCATCGTTAGGCATTTCAGGGAGGCCACGCAGGTTATTTTGCCTTGATATGTTGGGGAGGTCTTCCATCTGCATCTCCAGGTTATTTATTTGTTATGTCAGTGTTTCAGAGTGGGTAACTAGGGAGTTTGGGGCCTTTGCTGGCATCTCTACCAGTTGCTCGAGGTCTAAGGTGTGGGCCCCTAAGGCTTGGATTTCGGCCCTGACTTCCTTAGAGGAACAGGTGATAGCTCCTTACCTTCAACAGTTTGTCTGAGTGAACAGCGGGTGCCTCGCATTACCTTGTGGATGCCGGGGTTGGGAGCCATGCGGACTGGCACGATTGCCATGTTGTGAGTCCGAAACCGCGCGGGAGACTGTAAAGAGATCCATCACAGAGGTGCTGGAACCGCTCCTGTCACCTTTATTTTGAATGGCTGCTTTGCTCCCAAGCCTGTGGCTGACATAGGGGGTGGTACAAATTTGATATCGGGTCTTGATGCTTAAGATAAGTGCTATATTGAGTGCGGGTCGGAGGGAGCACTAAAATCAAGCAGCCATGAAGGTCGACATCCAGGCCACGTCCCCCTAACTGCTAATGATTTTTTAACTTAATGTCTGCTGGCTGTTAGGATTGTCAGCAAATAATCTAGATTTTTCAGTATCTGGGTCCATATTTCAGTTGTCTGGCAGAATACGAAGAGGCTGAATTCTGGTGGTTATTGATGTATGTTCAGATGCTGATTGACAAAATTGAGACATTTTTAACTCATTGATCATTCAGTCATTATCCAGATTCTGCAGTTAGAACCCCATTACATGGTACTGGAGTATTTTGTTAATGTGGACCAAAGACATTCAGACTGAATAATCAGTAATAATAATAAAGTGGAAACTGAAGAAAAGTATTTTCATCCACTTTTCTCAATTATTGTATTTGCTGCACTCCCTAAAATATACTTCTCTCCTATGTCCAACACCAAAATCAAAATACACTTGTGAGATGTAAGTATGGAAATTATAGGATAGGAAGACCCAGAGAAACATCTATCTTGTAACCAGTGGAATATTTTGGTTTTGTGCTAAGCTAGGCATGACTAAGGTCAGACACTCCCCTAATCTAAATTTGCCTACATCCCTCACTGTTTAAGACCAACACTCACTTTAAATGGCAGAAACACCCTCACTGAGACATACACTAACATACACTCAGTAACAGATAATCAGTCATATTTGGCACACACACTGTTTAACAAACACACACTTTCACTGACAGATATACATTGACACACACACTCACTGACTGGCACACACTTCCAGATACAAATACACTGACTTACACTCATTGACAGAGACACACTGACACACACTCAAGGACACACACATCATCACTGATTTTACACATTGACAGACACACTCACTGACAGACAGACACACACACACATCCACTGACAGACACACACTCACAGACACACATACACACTCATTCACTGACAAATACACACCAACACTCAGTGACAGACACAAAATCACTGACAGACACACACTCACACTTACTGACAGACACACACACTGACAGGTACACATTCAGTAACAGATACACACTGAGACTGACACACTCACACACATCTTCCCATACATTCACAAATTATTATATTTCTTTTAATTTAAGTCCAGCAAGCCTCCCTACCTTTGGAGTAGATTTTTTTTCCTGGGGTCCAGTGTGACTGCTGGGGCTGGTCGAGCTGCTGGGCTTGTTGGGGCTGGTAGGTGGGTGGGCAGGTGGTTAATAGAGTTGGCGAGAGAGCTAAGCAAGAAGATATTACAGCTGCTTGTAATGTATAAGCCCAATTAAGAGAAAAACATGGTCAAACAGATATTTTTTTATTCCATAGGCTAAAAACTTCACTCACAGATGAAAAAGCTCTGATAAAATCAAGTGCAAATCAAACTCTTGTAATATAAAACACACACAGTCCACCAGTTCTTTAGCTACTTCACTTCCAAGTTGGTTATTATGTCCTCTAGTGTTCAATACTCCAACCTCAACGTGTATCACCACATTCATTGACTTCCTCAGGAGTAATTAATAAATAACCAGGAATAACACACAATACGTACCTTGTTAATTATCACAAAAACTTGTTGTTTTTTGATAATTAGCACACATTTTTTTTTATTTTCTTATCTCAGCCCCTCAATAAACTTGTAATATAAGCTTATTGTTAAAACACATAAAAAATGACCCTGCATCGCAAAATATAGCTTCAAATTATTGTAATTATGTATGGAAAGAGCTAAAAATATGGCCATACATGACCATGCATGACATAATTATAGGAACCACACGACTCTGATACCATGTTGGAGCCCAGCTCATGCGTGTGAGTTAGTACATCATGAGCATGAAATAGTTAAAGCGCGTATATGAGTTAATGCTTATGGGCATTATCTACTAAATCGTGACCAAGAAATAGCATTGTGTGCATACGATCTATGAAAATACATTCAATGTAACTATGGAGTTTCGAACAAATGCACATTTAATCAATTTAGGTGTAAGATGCAATATGCTAAAAATCCTGGCATGTGGCAGTCCCCATTTAATGGTTTCTTGTGTAAATTAAACATAATCAAGTTTGAAAGACAGTTTTTATTTTAGTGTTGGGATAATTAACAATACATTGATAAATCATATTAAATGCAACACATAATTACGTTTTCATTTGATTAAACTACAGTAAACAGAATTCAAGACAGTTTGGTTCCTCTTCAAGCTGGTACAATATTATTCTTATATAGTTACATAGTTTACATAGTTACATAGTTTACATAGTTGCACAGTTACATATCTGAAAACAGACACTCATCCATCAAGTACAACCTTTCTCACATTTGTTTGCAAAAACCCCAGTTTGAAGCACATCCAATTTCACAACAAACTAGGAAAATATTCCTTCTTTACCCCAGAAGTTCGATATCTCCTTAAATCAAGAAACAAATACACCACATGTTATCAGAATGTTTCTTCTGTCCCAGCTTCCTTTAAGATAGCGGCACTGAAATACATGAAACAAGGATACACAGAGAAAGTTTGGGCATTAAATCAATCAGACTCAGAAATATTCTTAGTGTCTCATTCTGTTTAACTGAAGACAGATACAGTCAGAGCTTAATATCTGTAATGGAGAAATGTTACATTTTAAAGAGGGGACATTTCTGCTTTCAACCAATTTTATAGTTATATAACAATTTATTTTCTTTCTATGAAACCTCAAAAAAGTACTGTAGGCACCCAGACCATTTCAGCTCATTGAAGTGGTCTGAATGCAGTGTCTCTTTTGCACCTAGTGCTGCTGTGACAGACCCATCTTTATGAACTAGAATTGCTGTGTTCGTCTGTTTTGCCGTTTGTATGAATTTCTCCATTTGTATGCCTTGTTTAAGGGAATGTATTTTTTTGTCGAACGGAACTACCGAACGGACAGCCACCCAGAAGAGAAGTGTGCTGCTGGTTAACCTATTGATCCCAATTAGAACGTTGCGGTTAACCACAGACACTTCTCAATTAAAACCGAATACAGGGTGGTCGTCGTTCGTATGTCGACCACGAGGCGGCGGCCATTTTAACTATGCGAAAGCCCAGCAGTGTTAGACGGTTATTCCATGGAACTATAAATGGACACTTTTTCAACCGAACACCGCTGAAGCCGTCGACCTCCCCTTCTCAATCGACAAAAGTATACGAATACCGGCCGTTCGAGAGATTTAAAGGCATGAACCCCAGATAGCCTTCCCATGGAGTCAATCGCATACCGAAGAACTGTAATAGACTTTGACTCCATGGCAATTGAACTATGTGTGTGGGATCTGAGCGCTACTCGCCTATAATATGCACTCAGATCCAGGCTATCTGGGGATGTGGTATACGAATGCAATACGTTCGACAGTTATAAAGTTATGTATTTTAATGTGTTTTGTAACTTGTATTTAAAATGGTGATTTGCCTCTGCTCTGGGAGATAATTGAATTACTTCTCAATTATCTCCCGAGCAGAGGGGAAGAAACTGTGTTGCATGCTGGGAATATTGTGGGGATGTATGTCTGAAATGTCCCCATGTCCTTCTGTTATTCCAGTCTCCCATTTGGTCCCCTAGGGGAGTGTCCACCAAGTGGGAGACCTGCATAAATACGGGCAGGTAGCCCACAGTAAAATGAGTTCGTGCTTTACCGTCAAAGCGGAGCTTGGTCTCGTTATTGGGGGGATTTTACTACCGGCGACTAGAGACTGCTTATTGGGATTATTTGCCGCTTGGAAACTATTGCGTTCGGCTGCTATTGGCGATTCGTGCATTTGGAGCTCGTGAAGGGAAGGAGCCGTACAGGTACCGTTCGGGAGGTTGGAGTGTTTCCTGGCTGGCGGTTCGCATGGTTATACTGCATACGCTACCAGACCACATTATTGCGAACGGGGAGCATTCACTAAATGGCAGTTTGTGCATTTATTACTGGAGGTACCGTAACAACTGGTGGCAAGTGACGGGATGATCCTCAGCTCCCAGAGAGACCACTACAACCAGGATTAAATGGAATTAAAATACCAAAACCTGAGAAGAGCTACCCTAAAGGATTTATTAGAACAAAGAGGCGGACCAGCCAATAACCTCAGGAAGAGGGACATTATTGCACTATTGCTGGAAATGGATGGAGTACCAGCGGCAGAGGGAACCAATGGACCCAGCACAGCTGACAGAACCCCCGAGGAGACAAGCTTTGACTGGGCGGTAAGAATCAGGCTGGCACATTATGGTCCCAACCCATCTGCAGAGATCATCGACCGGGTCATGGCCGCTGTGGAGGCCAACCTGCTACGCCAAAGCGGTGCTGCAGCAGCCCCAGTCACAGCAAACCCGGGGGAAAGAAAGAAAGTGCCGTTTACTGCATTTAAAGCCTTCAGTGAGACAGAAGGAGAGATTGATGGGTACCTTGCTGATTTTGAGCGGCAATGTGCCCTGCACAAGGTACTCAAGGAAGACTGGGTCACTATATTGTCTGGCAAGTTATCCGGCCGGGCCAGCAAGGCTTTTCGGGCCATTCCTGATGAGGAGATCGGGGATTATGGGGCCGTCAGGGAAGCTTTACTCTCCCGGTATGCCGTTACACCGGAGGTTCAGAGACACCGTTAAAACAGCTGGGGACTCTTACGTTGAATGGGCATGTAAAGTGCACCGCACAGCTGCCCACTGGATGGCAGGGTGCCAGGCTGTCTCCGGAGAAGAGGTGCTGCAGATGTTTCTATTAGAGCATTGCTTCGATAAACCACCAGGGGTCAGAGAGTGGGTAAGGATCCGTAAACCCTCCACTCTACATGAAGTAGCTCGCCTGGCGGACGAGTATACGGATGCCCGCAAACTGGACAGTTCCATCAGTAAGGCTCCCGCCAGAGTGGAATACCGACCAGCAGCACCACCAGCAGCTAACATCTACCAGCCTCCCATGAATCGGCCGTCAGCACCCCCTCCGTCTGCCCAGTACCAACAGCCACCCTGGTTTAACTCACGGGATTACTCACAACCCATTAGGTGCTACCTCTGCAAACAGCCAGGGCACAAGCGACCGGAGTGCCCAATGAACATGCCAACCAGAACCAGTCCTGGAGGAGACCAGCCAGGGGCAATCCACGACCAGCTCTCCCCGCTGCTCACTGTGTAGAGGAAGAGGAGTGCTGGGGCATCCTGCATGAGGCAGACCCTGTTCAAGCTGCCCACCGGGACAACAGACAGCACCACCAGCAATGAAGTAAAGGTCAATGGGAAGGAGGTCAGTGGTCTACGGGATACCGGTGCAACCATGACTTTGCTTCAGAAGCACCTGGTATCCGAAGCCCAACATACCGGAGACACGGTCACAGTGCGAGTAGCCGGGGGTGCCGTGTTTCATCTACCAGTTGCCCGGGTACATTTGGATTGGGGAGTGGGCGCTAGACATGTGAATGTGGGGTCATGAAGGACTTACCAGCAGATGTCCTCCTTGGCAATGACTTGGCGCCCCTTGTTTCAGCCTTCGCTCCCATGGGTCCCGCTGAAGTGGACGCTGTCACGACCCGTGCCCAGACCCGTGCCGCCGAGACCGGCCCACCTGCTGCTGAGACCCAGGTAAGACTCTCTACCCCGACTTGTACCTTAGACCAGGCCCCTTTAGGCTGGGATACCCCAGAGATGTATGGGAAGGAAACTAGGGAAGACCCGACGTTAGCAAAGTACAGGGCCAGTGCCGATTCTGGGGGAGAAGGGGTAGATGGGTAGCATTACGAGTGGGTGGGGGATAGGCTGTACAGGATCCTGAAACCGTCTCAGAAACCGAGTACCCCTCCGCAGAATAAACAGCTAGTGGTACCTGCAAAATACCGGCAGGAGATTCTGCGGATTGGGCATGATGTGCTGTTAGCAGGCCATCTAGGTTCCCGCCGCACAGCTCACAGAATCACCCAAAACTTTTTCTGGCCTAATTTTAACCGAGATGTGCGGGTTTATTGTAGCACGTGTGACACATGTCAATGGATAGGTAAACGGGGGGATCACCCAAAGGCTAGGCTTCAGTCGATGCCTATCATTGGAGAACCCTTTTCCCGCATAGCCGTTGACATTGTGGGTCCACTGGCCAGGGCTAGTCCATCAGGTAAGAAATATATTCTTACCATGGGGGACTATGCCACACGTTATCCAGAGGCAGTAGCGCTGTCTAACATAGAGGCAGAGATGGTTGCTGATGCCCTGGTTAAAATTTTCACTAGGGTCGGGTTCCCTCAGGAGATCCTCTCCGATCAGGGAACTCAGTTCACCGCTGTGCTTACCCAGCAGCTGTGGAAGGTGTGCAGCATTAAACCGCTGCTTAGCTCACCTTATCACCCACAGACTAACGGTCTCTGTGAGCGATTTAATGGTACCCTCAAACAGATGTTGAGGACCTTTACTGACACTTGCAGAGACTGGGAGCGATTCCTGCCTCATCTGCTATTTGCATACAGAGAGGTGCCCCAGGAATCTACTGGGTTCTCCTCCTTTGAGTTACTCTATGGGAGGAGGGTCCGCGGACCCCTAGATCTCATTAGAGGACACTGGGAGGGGGAGACAGAGCAAGAAGGGACCCCCATAGTACCATATGTCCTGGAACTCCGGGACCGCATGGAGAAACTATCCCTGATGGTAAGGGAGAATCTCCAGGTGGCCCAGGGGAGACAGAAGAGGTGGTAATCGGGGTGCCCGACAGCGGGTCTTCCAGGTAGGGCAGAAAGTTCTGGTGCTCAAGCCTGTGAAGACGAACAAGATGCAAGCATCTTGGCAGGGCCCGTATAAAGTGTTAGCTCAGGTATGTGATACTACCTATCTTATAGCCAGCTGTGCAGATGAAAGGATTCAGCGATCCTTTCATGTGAACATGCTGAAGGAGTATCAGGAGAGACCAGAGGACGTTGCGGCAGTATGTGCCCCAGCTACTGATGACCCCGAGAATTTACCCTTACCTGACTTATTAGAGAAGGATCCCCAGACTGACCTTACTAGTCTTGTACAGCTAGGGGACCGGTTGAACCCTGCAGAGAAGGTACAGACGAGACAGCTTCTGTGGGAGAAGCAGGCGACGTTCTCCCAACAACCTGGGTACACTACCCTTGCTGTGCACAAGGTCGAGACACCCGGACAGAACCCCGTACGACAACCCCCATACCGTATCCCTGAAGCAGTCCGAGAAGGAATGCGGAAGGAGATACAGGAGATGACCAGGCTGGGGGTTATCGAGCACTCAGACAGCCCTTGGGCCTCGCCTGTAGTCCTGGTGCCTAAGAAAGATGGGACCACCCGGTTCTGTGTGGACTACAAGTGGCTCAACGAGCGGACCATCACTGACGCCTACCCGATGCCCCGGGTAGACGAGTTATTAGACCGCATTGCCAGGGGGCGCTATCTGACCACCATTGACCTGTGCAAAGGTTATTGGCAGATCCCCCTGGCCGAGGATGCTATCCCTAAGTCGGCATTCGTCACCCCATTTGGTCTGTACCAGTTTAAGGTCATGCCATTTGGGATGAAGAATGCTCCGGCTACCTTCCAGCGTATGGTGGATAGGCTCCTCGATGGCTTCCAGGAATTTGCATGTGCATACCTGGATGACATTGCGGTCTACAGTGAGTCCTGGGAAGAACACCTAGTACACGTGGGGGTGGTGCTGGACAAGATTCGGGCCGCTGGCCTGACCTTGAAGCCAGACAAGTGCCAGTTAGGCATGGCAGAAGTGCAGTATTGTCAGGATATTTATATCGGCAGACATCTTGTGCTATGATAGAAATTAAAAGTGTATATGCTGAGTCACTTTTGAACAGAGCAGACTCCATTTTGTTATTTCCAAGCTAACAAAAGACACAAGATTTCTATCTGTAAAACTAACCACTTTCCCAGAGTTAAAGGAATGCATAGTATATACAAACCAAGTGATAAGGAGAACGGGGGTTGGACAGACTGTCTAAATGCTAATGGAATATAATCAATTCTAAACCCAGACATTTGTGACAGAGAAGATTAAATAATTTAATTTTACTTTCTAAATTTTATAAGGTACCATTGAACGGAAGAGGTGAAACTTAGTTTACGAACTGTCATATCAGAAATTATAGCAGGAATTGCGGACACTAAGTCTGGACAAAACTAAGAGAAAACCCTTTGAAGTGAAAGAAAACGTAAGTTATGGCTACTAATGACGTCAAAATAGCCACCAAGAAAAGTTAACTCTTTCCTAGATAGGTATGTTTAGTGGGACAAGACTGCCCTCCATAGAACAAATACTAAATTGCGATCTGGGAGGTAAGCACACCTCTAGTGTTGCTATTGGGTTATCAACTAATGACCTACAGAGAGTCTGGCCCTTTAAAAGTTAGGACAAAGGGAAGACAGGGGGTTGGGAAAGGAAAAAGAGAGGGAGGAATTGGAATTTTGGGGACTCCAACTCGGACATGCAGAGAAACCCAGGACAACATCTGAGACTAACACTCAACTCACAAACTCTTTGACACTTTCTAACCAACACTACTTTTCACTATTACCCACGCACCTCAATGCAGAGAGACATCCAAACAAGTTCCCGAGACTACCAATCGGATGAAATATCTACTCAACTGGTAATTATACTGGTTTCATTTAATTAATTAAATTAATTAAAATTTACTAATAGCATGATATATGACTGGATAAATCACGGTCAGATTTCCATATTAAGAAATCTTAGTTAATTAAAGAATATATAGTTAGAAACATTCCATTCTGCAGGTGGAATTAAGAATAATTATATATTAATGTGATATTATCACGTGTTAGCATACCGCTGTTTTTATCCAGGTGTATTGATTTGCTCTAAAATAAGATAAGATATCTTTTAGACAAATTAAATTCTGCTTATATAAATCTGGTAGATTCTCTTATTGGATGGTTCCAGGAAATGACTAATGAACTGGTTTAAATGTTATTTTATTTAAAATTACATAAGAATAGATTTTAATTACCTAGGAGATCTAGCCAGCATTGAAAGGGTTATTCAGTTGATCTAACTGTTAGCCAGGGTTTTATGGCCCTTCGCTGTGAAAAGCTTCGCTTTCTATGTCTGTAAGGATACCTCATAAATTGTGTAAGTCTTGACAGAAAATGCTGTTTAGCCATTGAAACGTGTATACCCATTCCATTGTATTGCATACCATTTGATACTGGATACTCATTGATTATTGTCATGCATGTTGCATAATATTATTGTTAATTATTGGTTATTAAAAAATAAAATCTATTTTTATAACAAATTGTGATTTTATTTATATGAAATACTTTTCACTTAACACGATAACGATCTTTGGGATCTGAGAATTGAATTAGTGGGCAATTCTCACTGTTTACTATTATTATCCCATAAATATCCCCACAGTACTTGGGTCACAGGGTAGGTTGTGGGAGCCAGCGACCAGAGCCAGCCAAGGTAGAAGCTGTAGCTAACTGGCCCACACCTATCACCAAGACCCAAGTGCTGGCCTTCCTGGGGACGGCAGGGTATTACCGACGTTTTGTCCCCGACTACAGTACGGTTGCCAAGCCCTTGACTGACCTGACTAAGAAAAATTTACCTAAGCAGGTCCTGTGGTCTCCAGCTTGTGAAGCCGTGTTTCAGGCATTGAAGCAAGCTCTCGTGAATGCCCCTGTCCTGGCTGCCCCAGTCCCTAACAAACATTTTCTTGTCCATACAGATGCTTCCATGTATGGACTGGGGGCTGTGCTGAGCCAGGTCGGGGAAGATGGAGGAGAGCACCCTGTCGCATACCTAAGCAGAAAGTTACTACCCCAGGAAGTGAGTTATGCGGCAGTGGAGAAAGAGTGTTTAGCCCTGGTCTGGGCACTGAAGAAGTTGAGCCCTTATTTGTACGGGCAGGAGTTTTCCCTTATCACGGACCACAATCCCCTTGTCTGGCTTAACCGGGTCTCAGGAGACAATGGCAGACTGCTGAGGTGGAGTTTGGCACTGCAGCCCTACAACTTCCTACAACTTCACCCTGTAAGCAGAATGGGAATGCGGATGGGTTATCCCGGCAAACAGACGTCCCTACTCCTTCCCAGTCCGGTCATCCTCAAGTTGACCTGCCAAAGGGTCAAGCCGGGTCCGCCGGAGTGTTCCACAAGGGGGGAGCCATGTGACAGACCCATCTGTATGAACTAGAATTGCTGTGTTCGTCTGTTTTGCCGTTTGTATGAATTTCCCCATTCGTATGCCTTGTTTAAGGGAATGTATTTTTTTGTCGAACGGAACTACCGAACGGACGGCCACCCAGAAGAGAAGTGTGCTGCTGGTTAACCTATTGATCCCAATTAGAACGTTGCGGTTAACCACAGACACTTCTCAATTAAAACCGAATACAGGGTGGTCGTCGTTCGTATGTCGACCACGAGGCGGCGGCCATTTTAACTATGCGAAAGCCCAGCAGTGTTCGACGGTTATTCCATGGAACTAAAAACTGGACACTTTTTCAACCGAACACCGCTGAAGCCGTCGACCTCCCCTTCTCAATCGACAAAAGTATACGAATACCGGCCGTTCGAGAGATTTAAAGGCACGAATGGACTTACCCCAGATAGCCTTCCCATGGAGTCAATCGCATACCGAAGAACTGTAATAGACTTTGACTCCATGGCGATTGAACTATGTGTGTGGGATCTGAGCGCTATTCGCCTATAATATGCACTCAGATCCAGGCTATCTGGGGATGTGTTATACGAATGCAATACGTTCGACAGTTATAAAGTTATGTATTTTAATGTGTTTTGTAACTTGTATTTAAAATGGCGATTTGCCTCTGCTCTGGGAGATAATTGAATTACTTCTCAATTATCTCCCGAGCAGAGGGGAGGAAACTGTGTTGCATGCTGGGAATATTGTGGGGATGTATGTCTGAAATGTCCCCATGTCCTTCTGTTATTCCAGTCTCCCATTTGGTCCCCTAGGGGAGTGTCCACCAAGTGGGAGACCTGCATAAATATGGGCAGGTAGCCCACAGTAAACTGAATTCGTGTTTTACCCTCAAAGTGGAGCTTGGTCTCGTTATTGGGGGGATTTTATTACCGGCGACTAGAGACTGCTTATTGGGATTATTTGCCGCTTGGAAACTATTGCCGTTCGGCTTCTATTGGCGATTCGTGCATTTGGAGCTCGTGAAGGGAAGGAGCCGTACAGGTACCGTTCGGGAGGTTGGAGTGTTTCCTGGCTGGCGGTTCGCATGGTTATACTGCATACGCTACCAGACCACATTATTGCGAACGGGGAGCATTCACTAAACGGCGGTTTGTGCATTTATTACTGGAGGTACCGTAACAGCTGCAATGTTTTAATTGCAGCACTAGGTCTGCTCTCAGTGACTGTCTACCAGACAGCCACAGGGGGTTCTTCCGGAATCGTGACAGTCCATTATCTGATGCTGGACGCCCTCACGCTCTGCATGAGGACCTCCAGCGTCAGATTTTTTCCCATAGGAAAGTATTGATTCAATGCTTTCCTATGGGGAGGTCTGATGCGCGTGCATTGTTCTGTCAATGTCCACCATCTTCATGATTGATTTCCTTTCTCCCTTACAAACTCCTTGCTTCTCTATGTCTTCTCTACTCTCTCCATGCTTCTCTAAGTCACCCATACTACATCCATGATTTGCTAACTCTCTCTACTGACTCCATGCTTCTCTAACTCTCACATACTACATCCATGATTTTCTAACTCTCTCTACTGACTCCATGCTTCTCTAAGTCACCCATACTACATCCATGATTTGCCAACTCTCTCTACTGACTCCATGCTTCTCTAACTCACCCATGATTTGCTAACTCTCTCTACTGACTCCATGCTTCTCTAACTCACCCATCCTACATCCATGATTTGCTAACTCTCTCTACTGACTCCATGCTTCTCTAACTCACCCATACTACATCTATGATTTGCTAACTTTCTCTACTGACTCCATGCTTCTCTAACTCACCCATACTACATCTATGATTTGCTAACTTTCTCTACTGACTCCATGCTTCTCTAACTCACCCATACTACATCCATGATTTGCTAACTCTCTCTATTGACTCCATGATTCTCCAACTCTCCCATACTGCATCCATGATTTGCTAACTCTCTCTATTGACTCCATGATTCTCTAACTCTCTCTTCCACATCCATGATTCTCATACCTCCTACCATTTTTATGAATTCCCTTTCTTTACCTTTTCAATAGTTTCCTCAGTTCCCTCACTCTCCTATCATGTAGAAATACCCTCACTCATTAATTCATTGATTCTGTCACTCAATTATCATCACGTGTTATGTGTTTTTTTTCTCTCCCTAACCACCTCCCACTTCTCTATTTCCAGCTGCCTAGAGGTCCAGGGCACCAGGGTGTAGAGAATATCTCTGAACTCATTTACTGAAATCAGTTACATATGACACCCAAGCAATCAATGTTATAATGAATTCTAGGGTGAATAGTAAAATGGAACTGCTGGAAACAGATCTTTCAATTCCTTAAAAATAAATAAATAAAATCACTGCTAGCAAATTAAAAGTTCAAGAGACTAAAACAAAAAAACCTTTTAAAAAGTCTCCATTCAGGTGTGGTTGTTGGACAAAATACTCACCAAAAACATATGAAGCCTGGAAGCCTTTATACTGGCCAATTTGATCACTAATGAATTGTAGCGCCATGGAATTTCCAACAGAAATCAGTGTTCGTGAAGATATAATGCCACATAATATCTGTGATGGTCCTGTGGAGGTATCTAGCCCATTATAAATGGACAGAATATCGTAAATGCAGGAATTTTCCAATGCAGGCTCCAGGACAAAATCATTTATTGTTAATATGATCTGTAGGAGAAAATACATTAAATTATGAATCTGGAAAATAAAGCAACACATTGAGTGTATTTGAAATATTTCCAAAATAAACACTTGCCTCTTCTCAAGATTTCCTTAATAAAAAGAATAATACTTTTCATTCAAATATAAAAATTATTATTAACTCCATATACACATTGACATACAGATAATCTATCCAGAAACCTATCTCCTCCATCCGTAGCTAGATTCATGGTTAGGGGTCAGTCTTACATTCATGTCTCAGGCCCACAATCCATACAGTGCACATCCAGAATTCCATCTGTCACATTAGAGAGTAAGAGACTGTCTAAATCAATCCATTGAGTTATTCTAGCTCATTAAATATAAATGAGTAACACTAAAGGAAGGCATTCTACCTTGTATCCTGCCGGAGCGATGATTTTCCAGATGCAGTTCATATTTGGAGGATAATTGTAGGGGAAGTTAGGAGTGGTGAAGTTATCTGCTGAAGCATAGTAAATGGCTCCACATTGTACTGCGGGGTAAATGGAAGAAGTTAGTTAGATTGTTTAAGTAGAACCATTAGTTAAACACTCAGTGACTTGTTCCTGTCAGAATCTGTTTTTAGTACCAACTGTGTATTTATCAGAATGTTTGTACACATCGCTGTCTCTACAGTTAGACAGATGCAATAGGTGAATATCATTAATAATATTACACTATACAGGGCCAACTTTAACGCAGGGCAAACGGGGCAGCTGCCCCGATCCCAGTTACTACTAGGTGGCCCAAAACAGCTGCCCCTCCGGGCCCCCTGCCCGCAACTAAACCCGGTGAGTTGCGGCACCTAATGTAATTAAGATTGTTTCAGACCGGACTTCTGTCATTTGCCTGCAGGGAGGAAGTGAGGTCAGCCTGGTTTCTCGACTCCTATCAGTCTTGGCCATCCTGGCCCACTGGACCCCAGGGAAGCCACCCTTCTGTACCCAAAAGCAGAGGCGGCTCTAGACTTTATGAGGCCTTAGGCGAAACTAAAACATGAGGCCCCACTAACAAAAAAGTGTCACATTGATGCACAGTTTACCTGTGTATGTGCCTGAGAGTGTGTCTGACAGAGAGTATCCTTGTGTATAAATGTATGTCTCTGTGAGCATGTTTGCGTTTTTGTCTGAGACCCTATGTGTATGGGGTAGCTGCTTGAAGAGGGGGGTGATGGTGAGAGGGAGAGGCGGGTGATGGTGAGTAGGGGGTGATGGTGTGAGGGGTGATGGTGAGAGGGAGAGGGAGGTGATGGTGAGAGGGGGTGATGGTAATGTGAGAGGGGGGGATACGAGGGGGGGGGTGATGGGTGGGGTGATGAGTGGAGGGGGTGATGTGAGAAGCTGAGGGGTGATGTGGAGAAGGAGGGGGTGATGTGAGAAGGAGGGGGTGATTTAAGAGGGGGGGCTGATGACGAGGTTGATGGTGAGGGGGGCTGGGATGCTGAGGGGGGCGATGCTGAGGGGTGATACTGAGGTTGGTGGTGGGGTGATGCTGAGTGTGGTGGGGAGGCTAAGGGGGTGAGGCCGAGGGATGAAGGGGTGGTGGAGGCTGAGGTGAAGGGGGTATTGAAGGTGAAGGGGGGTGAGGGTGAAGGGGTGGGGTGGTGGAGGCTGAAAGGGCAGGATGCTGAGGGTGGTGGGGGGTGGTGAGGCTGAGGGTGAAGGGGGGGTGGTGAGGCTGAGGGGTGGTGGGGGGTGGTGAGGCTGAGGGTGGTGGAGGCTGAGGGGTGAAGGGGTGGTGAGGCTGAGGGGGGTGGGGGTGGTGAGGATGAAGGGGGTGGTGGCAGGAGGCTGAAGTGGGTAGTGAGGCTGAAGGGGTGGTGAGGCTGAGGGTGGTGGGGTGGTGAGGCTGAGGGTGAAGGGGTGAAAGCTGAGGGGTGAAGGGAGTGGTGAGGCTGAGGGGGTGAAGGGGTGGTGAGGCTGAGGGGGGTGGGGGGCAGGAGGATGAAGGGGTGGGGGGTGGTGAGGCCGAAGCGGCAGTGAGGCTGAAGGGGTGGTGAGGCTGAGGGGTGGTGTGGGGGTGGTGAGGCTGAGGGTGAAGGGGGTGGTGAGGCTGAGGGTGAAGGGAGTGGGTGATGCTGGAGGGTGGTGGGGGGGTGGTGAGGCTGAAGGAGGGAGGAGGCTGAGGGTCGTGTGGGGGTGGTGGAGAGGATGAAGGGGTAGTGAGGCTGAAGGGGGGTGGGGGGATGGTGAGGCTGAGGGTGAAGGGGGGTAGTGAGGCTGAGTGTGAAGGGGGGTAGTGAGGCTGAGGGTGAAGGGGGTGGTGAGTCTGAAGGGGGTAGTGAGGCTGAGGGTGAAAAGGGGGGGTGAGAGAGCTTACCTTCTCTTCCCTGATGGTCCAGTGGGCTCCCTGATGGTCCGGTGGCCACTGCTTCCGGTCTGCCGCTCCGCAGAGCTGCAGACCATGTAATCTCGCGAGATGTCAGAGCGTTGCTGTGGTAATCCGCGGCAATGCTCTTGTAACGGACCGTTTTGCACACAAGGGGTAAAAACCGTTTAGGCGATCGGCCCCCTTTCCAGAGATCCAGGCACAGCTACTGCACAACACCAAAACTCACGAACTGGATACAAAATAGCACTCCAACTCCCGAAATGGAACCTCCCAAATAGCTGCTAGCAGACGAACAGGAAAAGCAGACGAACAGCTTACACTCCTGGCAATCAGTCTCTAACAGCATACAGTGAATCCCCCCAAGAACGAGACAAGGCTCTGTGTTGAGGGTCAAGCAGTGGTCTCAGGTGCTGGCACACCCAGCCTGGTTTTTATTACAGTGTTTCAAATACAGGACCACCCACAGGGAGGGATAAAACAACCAATCATATCACAGTTACATCCCACATATTCCCTCCCCTTATCCTGAGAGGAAACTCAATTATACAAACAGTTAAAACATACTTTCTACCCAACTTTCATAACTCCAAAACCATACATCACATTCACATAAAATTACATATTCTCAATCAATCCATTCAGGGTAACAACATATTCAAAAATGGCACAAATCAGACAAGGGGTTCAAAAGTTAGTAAAAAGTCCTTTGTGACTAAATGAAGCATGGCTTTCTGGCCCAAACCAGTTTCAGAGTCTTCTATCCTGGAGATAAGTAATTCAATTATCTCCCAGGATAGACACAAGACTCCATTAAGCACATGGTTGCAAAAAGACACAAAGCACTTTAAAATACATAAAGTCACATTTATACATAAAACACAGACATTTCACATATCCCCAGATAGCTCAGGTCTGAGCGCACATTATTAAGTGAATGGCGCTCGGACCACACAAATACAGTTTAATCACCATGGAGCCAAAGTCTTTACAGTCAGTTTCATACGAATGGGCTCCATGGGATTCCCATCTGGGGTATAACACATTCAAACAAATCTACTGAAACTCAGGCAGAAAAGCACGACTGAAGCTTTTCTGCAGGTAAAAAAGATGTCTTTTAACAGGGGGCCATAGTCCAAAGGCAGCAGGCGAGCAACCAGGCTTCTCCAATGCAATGTGGCGAGATTGGTCTCGTCACAGCTCTGATTGGCCAATTCTCGCGAGACACATGGTCTGCAGCTCTGCTCACTGCGTAGCTGCAGACCGGTGTCTGCAGTGGCTGTCTGGGCAGCCAGGAGGGGCCTCGCACCCGGCGGCATACCAGGCAAGCCGCCGGGCCCCCTCCTGGTGTCAGGTCCTCGGTCACTGACCGAGGGCCTGACACAGACTGCCCACAGGTGGTTTAGTCGGCCACGAGGCCCCAGCCAGCGCGAGGCCTTAGGCGGCCCCCTAAACCGCCTAATTAGAGAGCCGCCTCTGCCCAAAAGGTAAGGAGACAGGAGGGTGGCTAAAATATGTATATTGATATATGTATGTGTTCTTGTGTCTGAGTCAGTGTGTGTATCTTGCTGTGTGTATCTGGCTGTGTGTGTCAGTGTGTGTATCTGACTGTGTGTGTACCTGGCTGTGTGTGAATCAGTGTGTGTACCTGGCTGTGTTTGTGTCAGTGTGTGTATCTGGCTGTGTATCTGTGTGCATCTAGCTGTGTTTGTGTCATCTGTGTGAATGTATACCTGTGTCAATGTATGTGTACTTTTGTTTCAGTGTGTGTGTGTGTACCTGCATACCTGTGTGTGTGTGTGTGTGTGTGTATATATATATATATATGTATATATATATATATATGGGTGTTTGTGTGTGTGTCAGTGTGTGTAAGTGTATCTATGCATGTGGCAATGCACACATCCCAACATTCCAACAAAACTGCACTCAAATACACCACTGCATGTGTACCTGTGTGTCTGTGTATCTCAGTGTTTGTGTAAGTGTGCATTTGTGTGTATGTGGCAATGCATACATCCCAACATTCCAATGCCAATACTGCACACAGTGGGCCAAAGCAAATGCTTGCCCAGGGTCCAATCAATATTAAACATGGCCCTGACGCCGAATACCATTAACAATAAAACTTAACAGATTCACTGTCACTCTAAAGGGCTGTATAAATGGTTTTGAATTTAATTGTTTTATTGAAAGAGCCATGTTATCGTTAATGAATATACTAATGGAATATTGTGTGTCCAATGGAAATTATTAGTAACAGTAAGAAAGGCGACACTCTTTTATGGACATGTATTACTTTTTATCAGATAATTATATCTTGCAGAAATTGGACTCTAATACATTCAGTTGTTGTTTAATTCTACTTCAGTAGCAGTGAGCCCTTTGCAATATGATTCATTCTTATCCCTTGGTGTTTCACCGGTGATTGTCTTTCACTGTGTCATCTGTGTTCCTACCAACAGGTCATCTATCACTCAGTCTGTCTTTATATTTTGCTAGACTTTTAATCTGTCTAGGTGTGCACCCCACATGCTTTTCTGTATTCTACACAATCTGTGTACCCCCATTTATTCTCCTGGACACTCATAGATTCTGCTTTAATATCTGCAGATCATGTTTGCTGTGTCCAGGCACAATCCCTACTCAATAACTTACTTAGCGTTCTTCCACTGGACTTTCTTGTTAAAATGTATCTGTGTCTAGCACCTGTTTACATTTGAATCTACTTGACTTTTGGTGTCCTGAATGCTAATGGACTTTTGGTTTATGCCAAACTCTATATATTACCATTAAATCTAGATTTCAAAGACAGTGTCACGACCACTGGTTGAAGAACAGACATCAAGTACAGGATCCTCTTCCACCTAGGGTGCCTGTAACATGACTACTGCCTGTCCCTGATCACACTGAGTTCACTGAGCCAATGACAGTAATAAAGCAAAGTTCTAGGACATGGGAGAAGTACAGCAAAGGACCTGTCTACACAAGTAGCATTGTCCAGTCTACCTGAGGTATAAGTAGCTTTAAATCCTGTCGCTGAAAGGGAACCATCACTGACAAACTCAATGAGCATCTGGCTAGCAGAAGACATCAGTAGAGGGACAACTCCTGAGCCGCATGATCTATCCAGCAACAACGGGGACGTCTTACTGGGTCCATCGTAAATCTTAATGTAGTCAGAGACACAGCCAGGAGAGGACTGCACGTCAAAGGCATTAAACTGCAGCATAACCTTGTAAAAAAAATTTGGGTTAGGTTTATGGAGAGAAAAAACAAACAAAAACAAGTAGTAATAGAGGTGAGAATGGACAACAGCTTAATTTGCCTGCCCTTCGGTGGGTCCCTGCTCAGATCTCAAGCTGGTTTTAGCTCAACTTGTGCCATTACAGAGAGAACATATCTGAAGCATAACAAAAACAAGAGGTGATTGCGCAATTTAGATGTAATTCCCACATGGTATAGATAATCTCCAGGCTCTGTGAATACAAAAAACCAACATAGGGTAATATATTCAGACACTAGATCACAAAAGTGAGACTTGGGAAAACTCACAATTTTCTGAGCATTTAAAAGTTTGCTCTAAACTATGAAGGCAGGATACATCTATCAGATGTGTATATATTTGTGCTTGGTCCCCACAGGAGATGTGTATAGTTCTCTGTGGAATCAGGCAGGAACCACAAAGCCAAATAAAGGAGTACTAAACACTTTAATTGATACAAAAAAAATAATAAAATAGTAGAAGCATATCAGACTGGTCCCACCCATCTGGGCAATTCAGATCCGAAATGCCAGCAAGTTCCCTCTGCATGAGAGATACAGTAACCCCAGGCGATTGTTTCAACCTTGAGCTAAAACCAGCTTGAGATCAGAGGAACCACCGAAGGGCAGGCTAATTGATCTGTTGTCCGTTCTCATCTCTCTTGCTACTTGTTTTTTCTCTGGTTAGGTTTATGGTTTCAAATGAATGAATTGTAATACATATTTCCTGAATAAATATTAAATGATAAAATGCTGTAAAAAGAATGGACTTTATTGTGCAGTGTTTTTTACTGTATGATTCATGTTATTTTAAAATCTTATTTCAGCTTCTCTTCATATATAGAATTATTCACTAAGCACAAAAGAGCGAGGGTTAAATGTGTGATGGCTGGCTAGTGCTTGTTAACCAGCCACCATATTAAACATAAAAAAACGGAATAATAATCCTATCAGGTTCAGTAAAACACCCTTATAACTTTAAATTAGGTATTTTACCTTCCATGTGGGTTTTGTTCCCCACCTGTGCCCCCACCTATGGGCATTGTAAGTAAAGAATAGGTTCCCCATGCCTTATCCATGTTCAGCAGGTGGGGGCCCTTGTATTAATAATAAAGAAGGGAGGACCGACTTACAGCCCTGGGGACTCCCAGTTGGCAGTTGGGAGATGGGTGGAGGCCCTAAAATTATGGCCTGTACAATCACCCCCCTTGTTTTTTTAATTAGTTAAGGCCTACATTCATAAATAGGTGGGAGTACAGGACAATTTCTCACCCCCACTTGTCGCCCATTGGTGGGGACACGGATTTCCCCTTTAATATTAATACTAGGGGGGGTATAGTAGGTCGTCCCTCATAAATATTAAAAGTTGCCCCTTGCCATATCTACATGGGGCCCAGTCACTAGTTTTATATATTGAGAGGGCCATTCAGACTTTAGTCAATAACCATGATAGTTTTTATATTTATTCACTTTTAGAGAATATATATACTTTATTTTATATCACTTTGTTGTGGGTGAAACGCATTAGTGTTTTACGTATTAGTGTTTTATAATTCCTTTTATATTATACTTGGTTTTATATAATTTTTATCTCCAAAATAAACTTAATTTTATACCTCTTTCCAGACCTATCTTTGAAGTTCTTATCCAGAGGACTCACGCAGTGATATCCTTGGTGGGGATTATACCGTCTAAGCCTATTGGGATTGAGCAATACCTTTATTTCCTCTCTATTTGTGAGTATATATCATTTTATTTTATTTTATCCCGTTTAATACATACAGAGAGCACTATATTCTGTTTTTATTTCTTCTCCTGTACACGGAGAACATTTGACTGCCAGACTGAGGTAAAACATCTAGGAGCACTGGGAACAACACCTGCTAACCAGCACAAGGATCCACCACCATATCCACAGACGGTGGATACATGAACATAAGCTCCAGAAAATTGTAAGTGCAATTTGTTTCTTTCATATCCTACCAGAATTTATAACATACTACACTATATTACATTCTCTCTGCTTATTTCATCTACTACTTTGGATCTGAGAACAACACTACAGGCGCTGCCTCCCTGCACCTTTCTTTGCAAAATAAAACATGTAACTACATTCTGTCAAATACAATGAGTGAAGAACATCTAGAGCAGTGGTCCCCAACCCAGTCCTCATGAACCACCAACAGTCCAGGTTTTGTCAGTATCTCAATTTGAATGAAAAGGGGAAATACATTGTAGCGGGACGACTAGTATCTTGTTTCCAAGCAGAGACGACACTCAGCCCTGGGAGCTCTTAGTCCTTACCAGGACTTTTCTCCTTTTTCATCCCCTGCAAGCTGGAACAGCAGACAGGGGTTAAATCTTCATTTCCTCCAATAACAGGATGTCACACAGTTTGGAGGTTTAAGCACTGGCTTCTCACCAGGCTGATTCACACTATGTATTGAATACATGCTTCTTTTATGCATTCCACATAATGCACTTCCCTTAGTCCCAGGCAGGAGGCGGCTGGGTTACAGATATCCATCTCCCGCCGTAGGAGATACCAAACAGTACACAGGGATACACTTTAAATCACATTACATTCAGGGGGGTTACACTTTGGGGCTCGGCACCCCTGGAAGAGAAGGGGTTACAGGGTTAGAACTTACATGGCTAGATAGCCCGGGTCCTGTCTGGGATCCCTGAAAAAAGCGGGGCGATCTGATGTACAGAGCCAGAGATATCAGCGTTGAAGGTCTGGGGCTCAAGGCTCTGTACATCCCCAAAATTAGTTCCATGGTGTTGCTTGGTTTAGTCCAGCAAGTTCAAACTTCGTGCCCAAACCAACAACAACCAATCAGCTGAAAGGGCGCAAACCAAATCGCGCCATTCAGCGTTCAGGGGAGGGCGTGAAACTCGGCTGCACCAATTGGTGTTCGGGGAGGAGTGGGGTTTTGCCATCCAATCAGGGGAAAGGGCGCGAAAACCGATTGCACCAATCTGCTGAAAGGCATGAAAGCAGTTCGCGCCAATCAGCGCCAAGGGAAAAAAAGGGGGGGGGGGAGAGGGGTCTGCAGCCCAATCAGAAGAAAGGGCACAAAACCCCATTTGAACCAGCGCTCCTTCTCCGATTGGTCGCCCGCTCCCTGCGACGACCAATCAGTGCTTTACTCTTGCCGACCAACCAGAAGAATGGCGCGAACCCAGTTTGAATGGGCGTTCCTTCTCTCATTTGTCGACACAGACTTCCATGCGGCCAGTGGGAACCCTGCAGCCGTGAGACCGACTTACAGCCCTGGGGACTCCCAGTTGGCATGCATCTGTCTCTCCAGTGGATACCCACACTCAGGCATCCGCCGGAGAGAGCGTTCTCTTGGGCTGCCACAAGGGACAAGTGATTACAGCTTCCTTGGGAGCAGGTAGGACGGTCCCCAAACAAGGGACCGAAGCCAGGGTGTGCAGGCTGGTTTGGTATACGAATGCTGCCCCCTAGTGGCATTCCGCCAAACAAACCAGCGGCCACCAAGGGGCAGCACGCGCTGCTTGTTACCTTGCGGTCTGCGGTTGTCACACCTCGTTAGCGAGGTGTGAACATTTTAACCACACATTCTAAATGGAATAGAGGGGTGATCCAGTGCACAGTGCATCGTGCACTGGAGCGCCCCTGTGTGGCCAAAAAGTGAAATACACCGTACATTGCAAAATACAAGGGGGAAACATTTAACAAGGGAAAATCATCACAATATACATTGGGGAAACAAAATATAAAACCAAACCTCTGACTACTCAGTGGGCATGACACTTAGTGGTGGTGTCCCATCACATACATAATCCTGGACTGTTGGTGGTCCATGAGGACTGGGCTGGGGACCACTGAGCTAGAGGATATGAGGACCTGGCACCATTGAAATTGTGGTATCATTACACATGAGGTAAAGGGCCATGTAATGTAAGCTGAAAAGAAGAGAGATTGCCATTGTTGTAGAATAGTGATAGGTACTTTTTGTATGACTTACCTTGCCAGATCGCGTTCGTATTAACCAAACACAGCTGGAATTTTGGGGATATGCAGAGGGATAATTGGCCGAAGTCAAAGTTCCATTGATAGTATTGAGCAATGTAGCACAGACATCTGAACATAACACAAAGAATACAAATTGGAAATGGTGATAGAAATAGTGTTAGAAATGGTTGACATTTGATGCAATTTACTAAGGAGATTAAAGAGCCACAATACTGATGATATTACTTATAGGGATGTGCATGATCAAAAAAATTTGGTTTGGAAATTTGGGTAAGATAAAACGTTGGCACTTCGGTTAGGTACTTCCCAAATTCGGGACTTTGGCAATCCGGGACTTCAGAATTTGGAACATCTGTAGGGCTCCCTAACCCTATCCCTAACCCTACTTCTAACCCTAACCCTACCCTAGTCCTACCCTTAACACTACCCTAAACCTACCTCTACCCCTAACCCTACCCTACCCCTAACCATACCCTCACTATACTCTGCCCTAGTCCTTACCCTACCCTAACCCTAACCCTGTCATCATTCATGTAATTTTCCCTCCCTCTCTTGTTTTGCTACTTTTCAGAAATCCGAAGCACTTCGGCACTTCTGAAATTCGGTTCGGTTCAGCACTTCAGCAATTCGGCACTTCGGACATTCTGAAGCATCAAAATGTCCGAATTCACATTCAGACCGAAACAAATTGCACATGTCTAATTACTTATGCTTTGAAATCAGGTAAAAGATCCATGATATTTCCTATTACAGTTTACTGGCTGGCTTCTGAGAGAAGTTGAATCAGCATAGTTATTCTCCTAACATAACTATTGTCTTTGCCAATGCTGGGAAAGTAACAGACATAACTTATTTATTCTACTGCATTAACAGAGACTATTGGCTCGCTCACACTGAGAGAGACAATCATCTTCCTTTATAACAAATAATAGAATATAAAGAAAAATGCACAGTTCTAAGGACTCCATTAAAGCAAAGTATGGGCTCTCTAATGGGCACTTACCACTTTTTCCACCTGGTCGGCAGAGAGTAGACCCTAGACCATACCTACAACATTAGTGGTTGTAGTGATTATGGAGTGCCCTGTAGTCAAGAAGGTTTAGTATGGTTTGACAACATACATGAGTCCTGCCTGGCACCTGTGGCTCCAGTCCTTGCATCCAACGTTCTCCTTCAGAACATGCAGGGATATTGTCATTTACTGGGAAAGTGGACTGAGCCCTCATGAGCACAGTTCCTGTAATATTTATAGGATTGGGTGAATCCTGTCTTTCCAGTTTTAGAGCTTACTTATTCATTGTTCTTATTTCCTCTCACCATTCTGTCATATTCTTGGTCAACTTCAGAACACTCTACACAGTCCTGTATAACCCCACTTAACTTTGTTGAGTTAATACAATTCCCCTAAGTGAGTAGACCAGAAGCTGGGACCGCAGGAACCAGGTAAGTTGTCAAAATGGCTTGACTTTTGACTGTAGGGAAACACGAGGGCACTACATTTGTCTCTAGTGTTTATGGAGCTTGTAGTGTTAGGCGTTTTAAGATGGGGAAAACTGAGCATTAATAACTCACCACATTTATAGAGTCTGTTAATTTTAGACACATCCAGAGGACTCACTCCATCTCTCTGTCCAATTGGTACTGAAGGGTTAGGTTTTGGTACAATGGTATCTTGTCCTGATGTGTTGCAGAATGCGTATCTGAGACACAAGAAGGAGACATTTAATAATGGACATGTGAAGTCACTAACTTCAGCCAATCATAATTATGCAGAGAATATGACATGGGGCATGACAGAAGGCACAATTTCTATATTTACTAACATGTAAACAAGTACCACAAAGATACTTACCGGGGATAATGCATCACCGAACCATAGTCATATTCCAGACCCAGGTTATTAGTCTGAAATTTATTAAAGTTACCCCTGTCACCTGTAAGAGTAAAATATTAATTATAATAAATAGGCAGATAGATAGATAGATAGATAGAGAAACAACAAGGATAAATAGACAGAGGTACAGACAGAAAAACAAACTGATGGATACCTGGTGAGATATACTCGGTCATTATAGTAATATAGTCATCGCGGTCACTCCTAGAGTGCTCATGGAAAAAGCCCAGATTATGTTCAAGTTCGTGCTGGATGGTTCCTTTGGACATACAACTACCGGCAGCGAGGTTCACCACCTGGCCACCTCCTACTTTTCCAATGAATGATGAGCAACTGAGAAGATATAGAATAAATAGTCAAAATAAGCTGATCATTTCTTTAAATAAGCAATATTGTAAATCAAAGTATGCATGAAGACTCCTGGTTCAGAATGCTTTGGGAACATGAAATGTTAAACCTCGTAGTTTTTTCTGTACATTTGGGTATATTCACTAAATATTGAGTTATGGAGAAAGGACAAAATAAATTGGCAAAAAAAATCCTAGTTACAAAGTTATACAAATTTGTGTTTTAGATTCATAACAACTGTGATATATTATATTATCTTGCAAGATGCAAGGTAACTCACCACAAATTACTGTTTAGCGAATATACCACTTGTTCTACAAAGAGAAAGGAGTCCGTATAAGAGGACAAATTGGTATTAAGCTGGCAAGGGATGGTTACCACACCCCAAAAGTACCCCCAAAATACATGGAAACCCCTCGAGAGTCACATTCCCAGATAGCCCTGATCTGAGTGCCTAACATATCCAAAAAGCACTTACAGTATATACTCGAGTATAAGTCTAGTTTTTCAGCACATTTTTTGAGCTTAAAAACCCCCACTCGACATATACTCGAGTCACTGTCTGTATTATGGCAACTCAGAGAGCCGCAGCCGCCAGAGCCATGGCAACGATCCGCGCGGCAACAGACCGCGAGACTTACAGTGGAGCTGACCGGAACGGAGGAGAAGGGAGCTGACAGGAGCTGCAGGAAAGGTAAGTAAATGCTTCCTGCCGGCCCCCCCCACTTCACAGCCCATGCCACTGGACCACCAGTTAACAATCAGGGAGGGGGGACAATTTTTTTTTTTAAATAATAAAAAAATAATAATATTAAAATTAAAAAAAATTAAAATAATAAAAATGCCCTCCCCCCACATAGTTCACACACACTACACAAACACACACTCTGCATTATATACACACTCTGCATTATATACACAGAGTGTGTGTATATAATGCAGGGTGTGTGTTTGTATGAGTGTGTGTGTGTATATAATGCAGATTGTTTGTATGAGTGTGTGTATATATAATGCAGAGTGTTTGTTTGTATGAGTGTGTGTGTATATAATTATAAAAATCACAGAATTTCATAGCCCCAAGTTTTACCCTCGACTTATCCACGAGGCACAGCATATTTCACAATTGTTGGTCACCAAACTGCACTCGACTTATACATGAGATCGACTTATACACGAGTATATACGGTATATCGGTTTGGTGGTTTGGAATTGCCATCAAGGTAAAATTGTGACTGGCCGGCCACGAGGTAGAAGCCCAAAATAGTTCTACAGAAATCGTGGCAATGGCCGGTCTCAGTTCAAGGATTTCTATATGAAAACCACACAAAATATCTGAATGCTTTCAAGTGTTTAATTCTCTCCCCAGTAGGTAATTCATATCTCCTGAACGCCATTGGTATACGTGGTCCGGAACTTGAATGGGCAGCAGTTCCATCTTCACCAGTGTTCGCGGGAGTGCCTAACCGAAATAAGTTCCAGGCACTCGACGACCAGGTATTGCTGCCTGCGTTCAGGAGACAAAATGGCTGCCATCCATTCTGTTGACCACGTGCGTTCCATTGCATGAAATGGCGGCCACGCAGGGGATCATTTTATTGATAGATTACGTTGTGATTTCGCACTGGATAATTGGTATTCCATGTTCTAATGAGATACTGGGGTGGTCCTCATTTGGGAACCAAACTAGGTGAGTAAACGAACAGGGAAAAAACTAGTATTACCGAACCAAGTGATGGGGCATTCTTTCACACAAACCATCACAATGGTCTGCGATGCTGACTTGTTTACAACAAGAACATTTGTCTTGGCTGAACCATTTATTTCAGAAACAGAACATTATTCAGAACACCCAAATTTTGCCCGAATTTCATTTGGACAGAAATTGAATTTAAAAAAAAAAAAGAAAAAAATAGCATGAAGAAGGGCCAATTAGTGGGCTTCAAAATAAATACAGAATAGAATATTATAATATAATACTATGTTTATATTTTGCAGTACATATGGCATTTTACTGGCCTTTGTTTACATGTCAAGTGAAAAAAAAGGTAGCCAATAGAGGGAAAAAAGAAGTAGTAAAATATTATATATTTATTAAATATATAAAGTATAAAAATACATTTTGTTTGCTCCTTATTTTTTCCTTTTTTTGCTCATTTTTCACTTGATCTTTGAATAAAGTCAACATTTAATTACCGTTAATTAAATGTTAGACAATTTAAATCTGATACAGCCATTTTGCATTCTAGGAAACCAAATTTAAAATTGTGCCACTTCAAGAATGTAAGCATATAATGATATGTTTTCAAGTTAAAATATTAAATATGCTTAGTCAAATCTAGCTGAGGAACATTCCCTTATATGACCTTAGATAAACTTGTTCTTCTCCTCTTATCTTGAATCCATCTGCCACTACATGAAACTACAAGTGCCACATAACATCAGAGTTAAGATTAAGTTGTAAACAAACAATAGGAATGCACTATAAATGATAAAATAATAAACATATAGGATAATTAAAAGTTGATTTTGGAGTTGGCAATTAAGGCATTAAACATTATACAAATAGTCAAAAACAAGATAAATGGTATACATCAGAAGTCTAGTTGTTAAAAGATAACTTACTAACCACTGAACCTTTAAAAATAAACTGATGCATTGTCAGATAGCACAAGAAACTCTATGTGTATGATTATTCATCTCATCTGGCTGTACGAAGGATTTGTCCATAAATTGTTTAGTTCTTCAGGTTAAAAAAGATGGTTGGCCAACCGTAGAAGACCACAGTCAAAGAACCCATTAAACTTGACAATCTTTTTTTCCCATCAATCATTTTTCTTTTTTTTTTTTGGTGCCACAGGTGGAATTCAAAATCTTGACACTGAATTGAACATGTTCAGCATTGTGTAGTTTAAATGGTCCGTGATTCAGCTACATTTTGGCTTGGTGTTGAGGAATTCAACTGATCACCCGATCCGACCAACTTTGACTTAATTGCAGTTCAGCTTGAAATTAATCTTCAAGTCCAATAATGTTTTTAATATATCTGTGACAAAGTGCCCTTCACCACTTGTTTTTGGAGAGGCCTGCTTGCCAGCCTCTTGCCTTGTGACTATGGCCTCTGGGAGATATTGCCAGTTAAAAACACTATGTGGGCGTATTGGCATTTAAAAGACTGTTTCTGGCCCTTTAAATACTGTGGGAAAGGATCTGCACTTTCAAAGTGGCACTTTGGATGCAGCCGAAGTGCCGAAGTAGTCGAAGTGTCCACCATTCGACAAAAGAACACGTGGCGGCGGCCATTTTAATTTAGCCGAACGCGGTTAGCAGTGTTTTGCCGTCGAGTTCATGGAACTAAAATCGGATACTCGACGGCACGAACACTGCTGAAGTTTTACCTTCTTTGGAACTCTCTCACTTTGAATGGAGACAATACGAACGCCACAGTAACATTGCAGATTTGTACGAATGGCACCGTTCGTGCATTCGAACGGTATTTGAACTGTAGTGAATGGACCGACCGCACAGCCAAAATTTATGAAACTGTTTTTGGCAGGAAAGCCATACTGCGGTCGGTCAAATGAGACTTCCAGCTAACTCCCGAACAGCTAAACGGATTTGCATGATTTTTGGATATGTTTGTTCCCTAAGTATGCTGGTTCAGAAAATGTAAGTTTTATGTGAATGTGATGTATAATTTTTACGTTATAGAAATTGTGTAAAAAGTGTATTTTTCACTTGGAGGTAATTGAGCTGATACAGTAATTAGCCCAATTATCTCCTAAGCAAAGGGGAGGAATTTACTGTAATGAATGGGAGTGTTTAACTGTGTGTCTGTATATGATTGGTTGTTACGTTTGTGTTTTCAGTGCCCAACAAGGTCCACGTGGGTGGTAACCTTGTGGGGAAATGTTTATAAAAGAAGCAATAAAGCCTCAGTGCATTCTGTTCCTGTTTGACCCTCAACATGTAGTCTTGTCTCGTGATTGGAGGGGAATAATAATCACACTGGAGATTGCTATACTTTGTATACTCTCTTGAGCTCTAATCACTTAGGTCTTTTAAAAACTGTTCCTAATACGCTCTACTGGAGGAGAGGTCTCTTCCACACGGTCCTGGAGGACAGAAGCTGATCCAGGGTGGAAGGAAGACGGCGAGACTACAGTTAAGCTATGGCGCTTGTGGAGTCTGTGGTGGTTGTGGTGTCCGGTGCGGTGCTTGTGGTCCTCGGCGCAAGCTAGGAAGCGTCCATCAATGGAAGGTACTCGGTTGGAGTACAGGTGATCCGTTACAATATCATTAAATGACATCAACCTATTGAAAATGTTTTGTTTTATACAATACTGCATATCATTAGAACAACAAAATTAGATATAAAAAAAATTATCGTATATTCACATAAGTTTAGCGCAAAGCTCAATTGTAAAACGTACCCTCCTGTGGACACAATTTTCAGAAAATCTTTCTCTTTTTTCCGTGGTACAAATCGTATACAAGTCAAGGTGTAGAACTCCTGCATGGAACTGTTAAACAAGCTGACTTGCTGAGTGCCTAGGGGTGGAATTAGAAAGAATTTTGGAACATTTTTTTAAATAAACCAGCTCTCTAAGAATGGTATAGTAGAGCTACTCACTGTAACTGGAAGAGAGGGTATATGGCACTATAACAGTCCCATTTGCAGATTTGGGCCAAAGACAGCTTGCACAGTTTATGGCACTACGACCACTGGGATGAATGAGAATGTCCCCCTCAATCGTCGGAATTTTGCTGTCTGCAATGGAGAGTGAGGTGTAAACACGTAATATGCCATTCATTGTATTTCCAATTACAATATAGGCTACGTGTATTTAGTCTGTAACTATCCACATGGTTTTATTAAATCTCAGTATATCTATCCTTCCAAGCAAGATAAAAAGATTTCAATAGAGTTACATTGATATATTAATAAATATCAATTTAATCTGCTGTGAATTTTTGCAGATTTTTTTAATGTTTTTAATTTAATACAATTACAACTTTTGCCACAGAAAACAATTACCAATCTTTCAAAATTTAGAATCTTACTCAAAATTTAGGAGGTTAAACTAATTTTCGGAGTATAAATTAGGAAATTTACAAATTTTTGGCAGATTGTTTCAGAAGAGCTGGGTGTTAAGAGAACTTATTTTGCTTATGTATTTATTATCTTTTTTGTAAACCAACATAGATATTTCTATGCATCAAACAGAAACCCAGTTATATTTGAATCCATCAGGATACAGTTTGTGCTGTAATAGCAAGTTTAATGAAGATCAGACTGAAATGCTCTCAGTGAAGAAGTCATTAAAATCCATATCTCTATGTTTCAGTGGATGTCAGCCACATCCGTTCACATCACAAGAAAGTCACCTGGAAATATGATTTGCACAAACGCATGTACTTGAATTGGTAATTGTCAGAATAGGTGGTATGGGCCGAAAGTGGATAATACTGTACCTCGGGTTCTGTTCTGGTTCCGCTCACCCTTGATCCTTTCATAACCAATTACAGATAGAGAAGCCGTGATCAGCAGCAGTACAAGGGAGAGGGGAGCTGGATAAGGAGGTTGCTATGGACGTTTAGTAAAAAGAGATACTGAATCTCTAAACATTAAAAAAAATTATATTTTGGCTACTTTCAATTGTGAGTGTGTCATTTTCCTATTTTATTTGTTAATATTTTTTTATTTTATTTTATTCTCTACCTGGCATCCGTTTTTACAGTTCCAGAGAGGACTACTCCCTAAAAGAATCCTAGGTGGGGATTATACCACCTATGCCTTGTACATTGTGCAGCCTACCTGCTCAATTAAATGTAATTGCTTTGGTATTGAGTAGATTTTTCTATTTCTGTTTTAAAAACGTATATAATTTCAGATTGGGTTTTACTTAACCAACAGCAACAGCAGGGGACACGTTTAATGAAAACTATTTTACCTTTTTCATCCTAAATTGTTTTGTTTGTAATTTTTACTTGTCTTTACTGATTTACTAACCTGGATTGTTTGCTAATTCACCCAGTATGGTGTCCTGTGTGTTTCTGTCTTTATTGTCTGGAAATAAAAAGAGCAAATATTCAATAAGAATCAGAAAAATATATTAATGAAAAATATTAATAAAAATGTCTCAAGACTAGAATAAAATGTCATCTATCTGAAGCCCCAAACTAAACTGGAGAAAAAATAATCTGATGTATAATTTAAATATGGATGTAAAATAAATGCAATGATAGAAGGACTGACAGATAGATGGATGTAGGGATGAACAGATAAATAGATTTAAGATAGATGGGTAGATAGACAGATAGACAGACAGACAGACGATAGGCAGACAGATAGACAGGGGTGGATCCAGAGCCTAATTTCGGGAAGGGCACTCATAGATTATTTGAAGAAACAATCCAGGCACAATAACCACTACAGGTCTCTGTAGTGGTTTTTATGCCATGAGTGCAGTGGCGCCCTCCCAGAGTAAGCAGCCAAACTGTTTAAGAACAGTTTGAACAATTTATCTGGGGCAATGGGGTAAGGGCTGTAGTAGGGGATAGGGCCTATAGTATGTGTGTGTGTATGCATGTGAGGGGTGCGTTGTGTGAGTGGGCAGGGTGTATGTGTGATGGGTGCAGGGTGTGGAAGGGTGGCAGTGTGTATGAGGGCTGCTGTGTGTGTACGGGAGGCAGTGTGTGTGAGGGTTGTAGTGTGTGTGTGTGTACGGGAGGCAGTGTGTGTGAGGGTTGCAGTGTGTGTGTGTGTGTGTGTGTGTATGGGAGGCAGTGTGTGAGGGTTGCAGTGTGTGTGTACGGGAGGCAGTGCGTGTGTGAGAGGAGCAGTGTATGTATGGGGTGTAGTGTGTGTATGGGGGGCAGTGAGAGCACTGTGTGTAGAGGGGTCAGTGTGTGTATGCCCTGTTGCTCACCCCGGATCCATCACGACAGACAGATTAATATATGAATTATAAAGCTATAAATCAGATAACTTACCAAGCGTTTTAAGATTAGGAAACATAATCTGTTAAATAAAGAAACAGAGTTTGTGAACTTTCAATTAAAATAAATCTCAGCATGTTTTACCGTATCACATCACTTTATTACAAGGGTAGGAATATCCCCAATAAATGAAGTTGGAATGTTTGCGTCCAATCATGAAATTAGTGTCAGCAATCTAAATGATTAACTCACAAAATGTTCCTTACTTTATCGTTTCGCTATCTTACCTGTAAATTTGGAGGTAAAGGTACATTCAGGACTGGTCCAATCACACAAAGCAGAAGGATGATGTAGATTCCCATTTTCATCCAGTTGAGGTCTTCGTACCTGGGATTATTTCTAAAGTGTGCGCTTGTCAAGTTCTGTCTATAGATATATTTTAACTCCATCTCAGATCCACCTTTTATACAAACTCTGGGTAAAACCTCAACCAATCAGAATCGGAGTTCACAGGAAATGATGACAGCTGGAAGATGTGCCTCGAGGTCTTCTCATGGTTGTTATATGCACCAAATCGCTAATTACAAGTGACATATTGATTTTCATGCTAGTAACTTGTAACCCCTCATTTTACATTATTCTTAGAGCTCAACCTTTTAAGTTTTATTATGTAATCAAGATGGTCAAATAAATCCAATTTATATCTGGTTTTATTCAGAGCTGTATGTTGTTAATAAGAAACTATTTTGAGTGAAACATACAGGATTCTCTTTATTAATTAACACGTTACGGAGAGTTTACAATTAAATTTAGAAATATAGAAGGAAATCTACTTTCTAGCTCGGCTTCTTACTCTAAATTTAATTGTAAGACATAAAAGCTTGTACTTCATTGAATAAACCATTTATAATATTCTACAGAAAGATTGGATCATATTGCAATTTTACTGTCTCTTCATTTCTATATTACATCTTAACATTTCATTTCAATTCAAGTTTCAGTATTTTGCTCTATAGAAAAATTTCAGGTTTATTCTCTAAACACAGGATATTGCCTAAAAGGGCTAAATTCTGTGAGATTATTTTAATACTATTCACATTGGCAATTTGCAGATTTAGTAAAGCCTAATGCTGGAAGGATTCGTTCTGTCCTATCGACTCTTTAACATTCATTTGGACACATTTGTAAAATCAATGATATTTTAATGGAAACCAATGGCAGATGAAGATAAACTGAATGCATCCAGATGAATGCAATTGCTTATTCACTTGCTTTTTATTCACTTGCTTTTTGCAAGTAAATTAATCATTTGAAGAATTATTTGCTTGCTGACAGCTGGGCCCAGATTTAGGTTATTTAATTAATTCAGTTTGAACTTCAGCTGCGGTGTTTGATCTGACAGAGACCTGGACAACATTCGGGGCTTGAATTACATACATTACAGACATTGATAAATTCCATTAACAAAGTCCAGATTTTGCTGTCTGAACCGTCCTGTACAAACACATTTACCTTATTTAGTACAGCGACATTTGGACTAGTGAATAACTTTGATGGATATAAAACTGAAAACCTTCTACTAAAGGTAACAAATAAAACAAAATATATGGAGCTGATACAGTCAAAGGAATCTTTTATTAATGATATACAAACAGGTAGTATCTAACACTAAAACTTTTCACAAATCTGACAAAAAAATGAAATAGAACAAAAAAATGAAATCATAGTATATATGTAAACACCATACAAAATATCACAAGAAGAACTTTTTATTTTTAATAACACGTTTTTGACTGCTATATTAAATTGTACATGTAACAGTTTACTTCAGGTAAAATTGCACTAACTTTATAATTGGCTTAATTAGTTAATTGCAAAGATACCTATGGCGAGAAAAAAACATTATATTATATGTGTGGGTACAGTAAATGTGTAAGAGGAAAATTACAGCTAAACACAAACACCGCAGAAATGTAAAAACAGCCCTGGTCCTTAACGTTAAGAAAATTGAAAAATGGTCTGGTCACTAAGGGGTTAATACTGACTCACACTGCTATCAGTTAAGCGGGGCGAGGTTTTAATGTGTCTCTCTGTCATTGTATGCTGGGTGGAGTGGCGTGTTAAATCAATTTCAAGGTTTTATAGCAAAATAACAGAGGGATGATGTGATAAAAAACACAATGATCAAAAATCAAAAGACTATTAAACTACATAATATCAGTAGTGATCAAATAATATTAGCTGCATTGTTAATTGTAACATTAGTTGGACAAGTTTAAGGAAATGAGCAGCAATCCAGGTAGAAATAGCAGAGAGACAATCAGAGACACAAATCAAGAGGGATGGTGAGAGATAAGAAGACAGATAGATTTCTGTGTCGTCTCTGATATTGGAAGACAAATTTGCAGTATAGATTGAGAACAGCATCCAGGTTTTTTTTAACTTACAAAGCTTCATTTTCAGTAACAAAATTATAATTCTTAAATGGCCACTAAAGTCTCTGTAGAAACGAATATCCATCTCACTATCTTTCCTAGCTGTTCATATAAGGGTTAATTTGAACCAAGAATAAATTTGGAATTGTATCTCCGATTCTTGAAAATAAATTTATCTAAAATCCTAGTTACGGAAAAGTACTGATTTCGAAATGTTCTTGTTAATTGTCCAAGATTTGGGTATTTGTAAATATCTGGTTTTATCAAATATACGTGCGTTCTATAACGTAGGATATAACTAAAAAACAGCTGTTCATAACTTGTGAAAAACAATCTATGTCATTGTCATCATCGTCACGCCCATATGCTCATTTTTCCCCCTCCCATCCTGCTATGAAAATGGGGTATAAATATAACTTGCATAATAAAGGAATTGAATTGGTTATTGAACACGTCTCTGCTATTCATTTCCAATTTCCAGAACTGTGAATGAGTTGGCAAATATCCATCATCCACAAAGGGCCCGGGCTGATTTTATCCCCAACAGTCTACAGAACCATTGCAGCTTAAATGTAGTGGTTCTGGTGTCTATAGCCTGTGCTTCAGAGAAAAGGCAGTGTTTACATTGCTGCCTAGTAACATCTCTAGTATCCATAACTCATATGGCCACTAGAGGTGCTTCCTAGTTGAGTGCTGCACAGTGTGCATCTTCATACACACAAGCACAGAAATTTTAATTTAAAAAAACCTTTTTAATTGAAATCCACCCATCCTCCCTACATTTGGGAGAGCTGGAGTGTATCCCTAAACCTACTGTAATGGTACCCTCAGGCATAAAAGGGTTAAACCGCCGTTTAGTAGATCTTCCCTTCCAGAGACACAGGCACAGCTACTGCAGAACACCAATCCGCCAAACAGGAAACCATATGAATGCTGTAAACAGCCGAATAGGAAAAACCATACGAATAGGTTTACACTCCTAGCAGTCGAACTGGAACAGCATACAATAAATCCCCCCAAGAATGAGACAAAGCTCTGTGTTGAGGGTCAATCAGTGAACAGACAGAGCTGTGGGTTTATTGTTCTTATGTACACATTCTTACACATTAGTACCACCCACAGGGTTTTGGAACACAACCAATAAACACATACAATACACTCAGACACTCCCACACAAAATCCTCCCCTCTGCCTGTGATTCAATTACCTTACACAATGGGTAATGTAAATATAACAAGCAGAGAAATAAAATTTTTCCACATTATTCATAACTTGAAAAGTATGCATCACATTCACATATAACTTACATTTTCAGAATCAGCATACTCCAAATACAAACATACGTCAAAATCATACAAATTGGTCCAGTGGTTCAAAAGATAGATCATACTCCTTTGTGACCAAAGGAAGCATGGCTTTTCTGCCCAAAACCAGTTCCACAGAGTCTTCTATCCTGGAGATAATTGGGAAGTAATCCAATTATCTCCTAGGACAGAGGCAAAACTCCATTGAACACATGGAAGCAAAAGACAATAAAACACATAAAAACATGTAACTGTGCAGCCATTGCACAAAACAGGTACATTCAACATATCCCCAGATAGCTCAGATCTGAGCGCACATTATTACTGAATGGCGCTCAGATCACACACATACAGTTCAATTGCCATGGAGCCAAAGTCTTTCCCATAGTCTTTCATTATACGAATGGGCTCCATGGCATAGCTATCTGGAGTATCACCGCTCAAACAGGGCAAGCACCAAATGACCCGGCTTTCATGTCTTTGCAGGGGAAAATCAAGCCTTTTAACATGGGGCCATAATCCAAAGGCAACAGGCGAGCAACCAGGCTTCTCCAATGCAATGTGGCGAGATTGGTCTCGTCACACCTACCCTAACTCTACCCCTAACCCTACCCTAATCCTACCTCTAACCCTAACCATACCCCTAACCCTAACCCATACCCCTAACCCTAACCATACCCCTAACCCTAAGCCTAAGCCTATCCAAACCCTAACACTAAATCTAACCCTACCCCTAACTCTAACCTTACCCTAACCCTACCCCTAACGGTAACCCTACCCCACTCCTAAAAATCTTTTTATCGCCTAAAATATAACGTATGGCTTTAATCATAGATTTTAAATGCTGCTAAGTCACCACCCTTTTTCCAAGATAGCCACTTATTTTAAAGTACGCCTCTATGTAACTGAATTTTAAACCTATAAAACTGAGCTTGTAGCTAAAATTTTGTTACCAATACCTTTAACATCAAAAATGGATACCATCTTGAACATTGCTCTTTATTGGTCAAAGAATTCAAAGACGTTTGCATTGACGTATGTTATTACCCCATGATGTGTATGTTTGAATAAATATACGTTTTTAGCTGCAAGACTAAATTTGATTTGATTTGAATTGTTTAGAAAACTGGTGTGAAAAACAAACATCTCAAGAAAAGCTAATTTCCTACACCCAGACCAATGGGTAACCATACTCTCAGGAAATCTGTCTGGGAAGGCAAACGAAGCCTTCCAAGCCCTCGCTCAGGAGGACATTCAACAGTATCATCTAGTCAAGGAAGCCCTCCTCACACGTTATGCAGTGACCCCTGAAACTTATCGTCGCCGCTTCCAGGAATCCAAGAAAAAGACAGGGGATGCCCACATGGAATGGCCCTACCAGTTGCATCGGGTGGCTTCCCACTGGATTAAGGGTTGCCATGCCAATACTGGAGAAGAAGTCCTGCATTGAACATTTTTTTGGTGAATTATCTACAGGGCTACAAGAATGGGTAAGAGACCGGCATCCCCTCACCCTAAAAGATGCTGCCCGGTTAGCAGACGAGTATGCAGAGACCAGGAGGGTGAGTTAAACCAACCCACAACCACCAGCCCACCTGGAAACTCGGGCTCCAACCCTCGCCCTGAGTTCCATGCTCCTGTACCATGTGGCCCTTCTGGCTACCAAGGGTCACCAAATTACCCTGGGACTATTCCAAGACCCAATGTCATCGGTTCCACGGTTGGGGGCACATAATTAAGAACTGTCCACTAGGGCCCTCTGCTCCAACTTGGAGGCGACCCTCACCCGGAGCGGATGCTGCACCCCCCCGTACCCCAGCTGTTCATTGTATGGTCAGGATTTTCACCAGACTGGGGTTTCTGAATGAAATCCTATCTGATAGGGGAACTCAGTTTACCGCAGACCTAACCCAGCAGTTATGGGAGGTCTGTGGTATCAAACCCCTACACAGCTCCCCATACCACCCCCAGACTAACGGTCTCTGTGAGCATTTCAATGGTACCCTGAAACAGTTACTGCGGACCTTTACAGATGAATACAGAGACTGGGAGTGATTCCTACCACAGCTTTTATTCACATATCGAGAGGTATCAACTGGGTTTTCGAAAGGTATCAACTGGGTTTTCGCACAGATCTGCGATACCACATATGTAATTGCAAGAAGCGAGGATGAAAGGGTACGCAAATCCTTTCATGAAAATCTGCTAAAGGAATATCGGGAAAGACCGGAGGACGTAGCAGCCATATGCATTCCCGCTACCGAAGATCCCGACAATCTGCCCATACCAGATTTGCTAGTCAACCCTTTCCCAGTGCCATACAGCTTGGGGAGCGACCCCGCAGAGAAGGGCCAACTCCGACAGTTGCTCACCGAGAAGGAGCTGACTAGTTTTAGTACCCAAAAAGGATGGGACCACGCGGTTCTGCGTGGATTATAGATGCCTTAATGACCTGACAGTGACGGATGCCTACCCGATGCCCCGGGTAGATGAATGTAGCGGAGATGCAATATTACCCAGGTTATCTCCACTTATAATCCAAGTGAGGCTCAGGAACAAGTAAATAGTAAATCCACAGGCAAGGCTTCCAGCAGGTAAAATACAGCAATATCCCAACAGCAATCCCAATAACTGGACGACACACAGTTTCAGGAGCAGACTGAAAGCTTTTAATCCACAGTCTCCTTATAAAGCATGCTCCCATGCAAGGGAGGGATTTACAGTAATTATTACAGTAGCCAATCCTGTCCTGGTAACCTCCCACACATCTCCTCCCCTCAGCCAGCATCATAATCCCCTTATCCAGCACACCAATTCCCCCCGTTTCTGGATGTACCCCTAAACGTAGGGGTACCACTTTAAATCCTACATCCCCGGATACCCCTGATCTGGGTGAACAACATATCCAAAAATCACCCAGATCAGACCAGGGGTTCGGGAAATGTATGGAGGGAATAAAATGACCGACCGCACTAACTGAGATAGCCGAATTCGGTTCCATGAGAATGGGCCCTGCGGTCGGTCCTGGCATAAGGGAACAAAATACACGAAAACCTCTAGCTATAGAGGCTAGGGAGGGTTCGCCTGAATCCCCTCGTTCGGTATTTTCTATCTACCGAACGAGGGGCCGTTCGGTAGTTTGGAACCGAACGGACCAGGGTTGTGGAGGTCTCAGCGGTGTTCGCCTACTCGAGTGTCCGATTTTAGTTCCAGACACTTGACGGCAAAACACCGCTGTTCGGGAGTTTTGAAATGGCCGCCGCCACGTGTTCGTTTGTCGAATGGCGGCCACCCCCGAGAACAAAGGACGGCTACTTACTGTTCAATTACCCGTTCGCAACAATGTTGCAACGTGTAATTGAGGACACACTTCACACAGGGGAGGTCTGGTTGTTCGGTAGTTTCATTCGAATAAACTAAGGGAATGAAACTACCAAACAATCAGAGGAATACAATTCTCTTTAACACATAGAAAACACAGCAGATACACGAATGCAGGTATATACAGTATATTTGTAGGGTCGCCTGGTGCCATCCGCTACAATGAACTCCTAGATCGTGCCGCCAGGGGACATTATCTGACCACCATCGATCTGTGCAAAGGCTATTGGCAGATTCCTCTGGCCAAGGAGGCTATCCCCAAGTTGGCGTTTGTCACCCCATTTGGCCTATACCAGTTTAAGATTATGCCATTCGGGATGAAAAATGCCCAAGCTACATTCCAGCGCTTGGTGGATAGACTCCTTGATGGTTTCCAGGACTTCGCTTGTGCGTACCTGGATGATATAGCAATACAGAGAGAAAGCCGAGAGAACCTACAGCAGGTAGGGGTCGTATTAGATCAGATTCGGGCTGCAAGCCTGACCCTGAAACCTGAGAAATGCCATCTGGGCATGGCCTGGGACACCGGCTAGGGTGTGGGAAGCAGCGACCAGAACCGGCCAAAATTGAGGTGGTCGCCAATTGGCCGACACCCCGCACCAAGACTCAAGTACTGGCCTTCTTAGGGACAGCAGGGTACTATAGAAAGTTTGTACCCAACTACAGCACTTTTGCTAAGCCCCTGACAGACTTGACCAATAAAATCCTACCCAGACTGGTCCGGTGGTCTCCCTCCCGTCCCTAACAAACACTTTGTTGTCCACACAGATGCTTCCATATATGGACTGGGGGCAGTTCTGACCCAGGTCGGAGAGGATGGAGGGGAGCACCCTGTCGCATATCTTAGCCGAAAATTGTTACCCAGGGAAGTGAGTTACACGGCAGTGGAAAAAGAATGCCTGGCCCTGGTTTGGGTGCATAAGAAATTGACTCCCTATTTATATGGCCAAGAGTTCACTCTCATCACCGACTGGCTGAATTGTGTTGCAGGGGACAACGGCCGGCTATTGCGTTGGAGCTTGGCACTACAACCCTACAATTTCTCCATCCAATAATGACCCGGCAAACAGAATGGCAACTCCGATGGGTTGTCCCGGCAAACGGAACTTATGCCATAACAGCAGTCCGGACATTGCCAAGCTGACCCGAAAAGGATTAAACCGGGTCTGCTGGAGTGTTCCACAAAAGGGGAGCCATGTAACAGATGCCCTGTTTATTGCCTGGTCCTTGGTTTTATAACATTGTTACCATTGAACTTGCAACACTTTAACTTTAAATATACGAATTGGAAAATGAACAGCTCCATTAACTGGTTCGTCTAACCGAACAAACTGTCGAACAAGAGACCACCCAGACCAGTCGTGTGCCGCCAATTGACTCATTGACTCTGTGCCAAACCGCAACGTCAACGTTCTAAGTGGTTCACTGGGTGGCTGTCAATTTGTATGCATGAACACGTGGCTGTGGCCATCTTGTTTTCTCAAACGCGTCCAGCGGGATTTGGTCGTCAAGTGTCTGGAACTATTTTTGGACACTCGAACTCCCGAACACCACTGAGACTTCCAGGATCACTTAACTTCGTGCACATTCACACTAAAGAGAAAAACATTACACGAATGAGGTGGCACACGATCACCAAAAGCACGAACACTCATGTGAATGGTTGTTCTGTATTTTGTTAACATACGAAAGGGACCGGGCACACCAGCTGAATACATGGAACTATTGTGGGCAGGAGACTCGTGTGCGGCTGGTAAGAAATGGGACTTCTATCTATCTCCCGAACCTCTGAACCGATTCGTACGATTTTTTTAATATGTTTGTCCCCTAATAATGCACCCTATAAAGTTTGTGGGAATTGGATGTATAATTTTAATGTTTTGAAAAATGTATAAAAAGTAAATTTTTTCGCTTGGTGATAATTGAGTTGATACGGTAATTAACTTAATTATCTCCCAAGCAGAGGGGAGGAATTTACAGTAATGAATGGGAGTGTTTAACTTTGTGACAGTAAACTATTGGCTGCTGAATTTGTTTATCGGTGCCCAACAAGGTCCACATGGGTGGTAACCTTGTGGGAAAAGTTGCATAAAAGGCCATCCTGGCACATTAAACCTTCAGTTCTGCTTAACCCTCAATACGTAGCCTTGTCTCGTTATTGTAGG